TAATAATTATAATATTATTATAATATTATATTATATGATAAAATAATAATATTAGAGTTATTAATATAATTATGATATTACTTATTACAATATCACTATTATATTATATTATATTACGAGTTTAAATTTTAAATTAAGAAGATTTTAAATTTAAAATTTTATTAAGAATATTATGTAAGTTTCATTAATTGTACTAGATTAATTCATGCACAATTTAAAAATTAAAATTGTCTTTAAACTGTTTCTGATTGACTATAAATTTTTAAAAAATTCTTCAAAAACCACTTTTAAAAAGATTTACCAAACACTAAAATCAACTTTTACTACAATCAGAAGCTAATTTTGAAAAGAAAAGACAATACAAAACTAAGCCAAAGACCTTTTGAGAAGTACTTAAACGACACAATTCTTGTCTAAAACACGAGTACCAAGAATTTCCGAAGTAGGAAATATCGAGTTAAAAAAGTTTTGATAAGGAGATGAAGACCTTTTGAAAAGTTTTCTTAGGATTATGCTAATCTTTGACTACAAATGGGCAAAAACTTTGAACTGTATTTCTTGTTATTTTTCTCTTTATTAGGTGGTCATGAGCTGTAAAGTTTAATTAATGAGATTTAAGTAGGGTCATCATCAATTCACACAACACAGACAATATAAAGCGTCCATAAATCAGCAAACAAATTTCAAACTTGTAAATTGCAAGAAACTGCTTTCTGAAGAATTCATATTGTTTCACTAAACCTTTATCTTCACCCGTTCCTGCAGCCTGAGATTTGCCCTACATGAAAACAACCACCCACGCCCAAAACACAGGCATTATAAAAAAGTGATCAGAAAATATGAATTGAAAGATCAAGCAAACCATGCACTCCCCTCGAGCAAAACCGCAACCTTGCCGCCTTAAATGCATTCAACATCCAAAGAACCTGCCAGTAATTGTGTAACAAATGCTTAAGATTTCACAGGATCTGAAGATAAAGATGTTGACGCGCCACTCTAGCAAATAAAACGAATCAACATACCACTTGAACCCTCGGTCTCAAAAGATCGGCAACTTTTAATAGTTGGTCCTGAAGTTCCAAGCTTACATGAAATGTTGGCACAAAAGCTTTCAAGTCAACTCTTATGATTTCCCTGGATCCTAAAGAACATGGCTCCACATCCCCTCATTTAACACAAACCAGGTACAAAGCTGAGATTAGAATATATAAACCAGACTGGCAGCTTAGAAAACATGGGACCCCACAATCCCAATTTGATGTCTAGTCTTACGACCACCAGATGACATTAAATATCCCGCTCTTTTCATGTCATATATGAGCCAAGGAAACGTGGCTTCTATAAGTTCAATCAGCTGGCTCAAATCGGATAATTAAACTATATTTCAAGGATCTTTTTACTAAAAGAAAATTAATTTCAGAAGAAAGGTAAACAAAGAGAAGCATTTTTAATAGGGATGCATCTTAAAAATAAATGATGCACCCGAAAAGATCAATCCGCCGCCACATGATATATGACGATGCCTGCAAATCAAAAGATATAGCAAGTCTGCTACAGCAGAGTAAGAGTAAGTTTTTCCAATCAACCTCAGTATAAAAACCACGAAAAATTATTACTACAAAGTTGAGAACATAAAGTAAATGCAACATTAAAACAGCTACAGGAGGATGGAAGCAACCTGGCTTTGTAATCTTAAAGAAAGTCAACAGGAAAAAACACCAGGAACGTAGGTGTGCTGGCTATTTAGGTTTTAGGGAACACAAGATACTAAGCTTGGTAAATTTGGTCTAATGGACATGGAAAATATTAAAAGTGAACAAGATCTCCACATAGATTTGGTCCTTTAAGTAGAAGCGTCAAGGTGGGCCATGAGTATGTGAAACGCTGGTTCATCTGGTCTTCCGGTTTAGGCAGAAGGCTTCATCAAAAGAGGCAGTGGGCAGGCTTCAGGCTTCATAGATCTCAGCTGTTTTGATGGATTGGGAAAGGCAACAAAGGGAAAACAAGTGCATCAGAATTTTATTTACGGGTATTGGATAGGTAACTTATGTTATCAAACGTCACATGCTAATATATGACTGGCCCAGAGCTAACGCCAGTTATTTTGACATACAAGAAAAGGGATCAAAGGAATCTGTCGTCTACCTGCAGGTATCCATCATAAATTCTAGTAACCATAGTTTCTCCGTCGAGAAACAGGGTTCTGGCTAGACAACCTGGTATCAGAAGCTTAAATCAGGATTGAGGGATCTCAAAACACCAACAGAGATGTTAAAAGGGAACAAAAAGAAAAGATCATAAGAAAACTCATATTAATGATAAATGGTTTTCGTTTTTTCTCCCCTATAATAGAATGAGTATGCAGTCTGGAACAAGGACATTAACAGAACTCCCATGGCATAAAATTTGTACTTACTATTTTAAAAATGTTAAAATGCTTTTCACACCGAAAATGTACTTTGGGCATCGCTAAGCGGCGACTTGGGAATAGAACTCACTATTCCACATAGATTGGGGTAGGGAAGGCAACAAACAGCTAGAAGGAGCATACCCATGCAATGGCATATTTGTTGGGGGGGGGGAACACAGAAAAAGGGGAAAAAAATGAATGGATAGACCACAAAAACATGATAAGGAAGAAAGTCTCAACGTCTTACCCAGAACCTCCAGTACGCCCAGAAGAATAAGCTCCATAAGCACCATAAGCACCACCACTACCACCAATCTGCATACAAATAGAGCAAAATAATTCGAAATCAGGAGTACAAGTGATTACACAGAAAATTATAATGCACAGCCCATAAATGATGAAACAGCATAAACACATGAGAAAGTGACTAGTAAACGGAGCTCTATATATATATATATATGTATATGTATATGCATATATATGTGTGTGTGTCGATTTCATTGATAGTTTAAGAACTGTTGTATGGAAAAAGTATTGGCCCTTGGCAGGATACCTGGGAACCACCATAACTTCCATAACTGTCAGAAGATGCCAAATCACTTGACGCACCATAACCGCCAGAATAAGAATGACCACGTCCATGTCTTTTACTGTCTCTACTTTCATAATTTAGACCATCTGGACCATCTGCTGATACAGGAAGATATGGTAGAACTGGAAGCAAAGTAGGAAGAGCACCCTCCCTATCAAAAATATTAGCTCTCAATCGTGTAACCACATGAATAAGAGCATCCTTCGCCACATCAAGATCTCCAGCAATCTGATGAGAAGGAAAAATTTGTTAATAGAAAACATATGGTGCCAACTTGACCGAGAAAGGGCTCAGACAATAATAATCGAATGGCTTCACTAACACAAGAATCTTTTTCTTTTTTTTTTAATTTAAAAAAAGAACAAATAAACAATCACCTGAACCATCTCATCATCTTCAGATGCAATTTTTGGAAGGTTTTCCTTAGCAAGTATACGAATATTGGCTTTGGTAGCCCTCCTCATTTCAGTTACAATGGCACCTCCTTTACCAATAAGGCAGCCAATTCGTGATGTAGGCACAAGTAGACGGGTTGTGAATGAGATAATTCCTGAATCCCTTTCAACTTTCTCACTGCATTTTGGTTGCAGGCGCACTGCTGCTTCAATAGTCGGAGAATATGACTCCTCAAAAAACTGAAAAGGTCAGGACAAAAAAGCAATCAAGACCAAATTAAAGCATCCTCCACGAAATGCTACGAAATTCTAGGATTATTAACTGTACGGGAAAAATATATATTTTACCTCCTTGGCAGAAACAGTTATCAAGCAATCATCTCCTTCAGTTGCGGAACTGTCAACCTTGATGACTGCCCCAGATTCTTGTCTGATCTGATTAATTATGGTACCACCCTTCCCAATCACACCCCCAATATTTCCAGTTGGACAAACCAAACGAAGAGAGAATTCTTTTGAAGAACCTTCATCCCTAGGAGCCGAATACAAAGAACGTGACCAATCTCCAGCATCACCTTTATATCCTCCATAGGGGCCCATCAGAGGAGCTATTCCCACAATTGGGGCACCAGCACCTGGACCCATGAGTGAACCGCCAGAAGGATATACACTAGGCGCAGCAGATGTGAGCAAATGTTGAGATCTCGATGGATTATCATGAAGGCGAGATGCAATTTGATAGAGAGCCTTTTTGACAACTGGAGCATCACCAGATATCTGAACCACAAAACCAGTTTTGAATAGATAAGCAGTACACCCTTTTATGGAGCTAGAAACAAGATTTCTATTAACCCATACATTAACATATTTCTGAAAACCACACCTTGAAATAACATCAGTAAATCTTTCACACATCTAGCACCAAGAAAAACAGTCGATATACACCAGATTATTTTATAACAAACAAGGACGTGCTATAAAATCTTCTAAAAAAATCAGAAACGACCTTTTCTTTTGGAATTATTGTAACCAGCACCTAAAACAGGTCCACAAATTTACCAAGCAGTAGCATCACACAAAAAGCAAATATAGCTAGAGATCAAGGCAGACTACACAAATCATCCTGATTACCTGTACAAGCTCGTCAGAGTTCAGGGCACAAGAAGGCAGATGCTCATCCTTGAGAATGCGAATCTGAGCACCAGTGTCACTACGAATGTTCTGTACTATCTGGCCTCCCTTTCCAATAATGCAGCCAATCTGGTCAGAAGGTACAAGAAGCCTAGCAGTAACTTGATGACTTCCTTCACTATCCTCATCACCATGCAAGTCTTCAGCAACAACCCTTTCATGGACCCTAAAGAGAGCATCCTGAGCAGGGCAAACATGATTGCCACCTTCGACGGCGTTACTCTCCTCACTCATACTGTATATAGTAACAACACGCTCCTCACTTCCTGGGACTGTCTCACCAATCCTAATCTTCGATTTTGTGTCCACCCTTAGCTGCTTGACAATCTCCCCTCCCCTCCCTATGATGCTTCCTATCTTCTTCACAGGGCACAAATATCGGTACACAGTATCTTCCGAATCAATGACAAATTGTTCTCTTTCCTCACCAGGATTCCTCCTTTTATGTCCTCCATTTTCTGAATAGTCGGACTGAGAATGGGCACGCTTTCCATAACTATTTCTCTGACCAGCCATTGTTATAACAGACTAGATAACTGCCTACATATGAAATACAGACCATTCAGAAAATTCCAAAGAAACAGACGAGAAAATACCAAGTAGCTAAAGCTTAAACTGACTCGGTCGAAAGACGGATAAATTCTCTCCGCTTTCCATCATGTTCAACATAGAGAAACACAAATATCATGTTCTGTAGTTAAAAATAGCAGCTTAGAACTCTAACTTCATCATCAACAATACGAGTACAAAACTAAAGCAACGATCTTTAAATGCAATCAAAATAAACATGAGCTTTGCAACAATTCAGTCACAGATAAAATCCCATTATTCTTTAGCTACTTTTTTTGGGTTACAAACTAATATATAACCCCCACATGCATAAAAATTGCCAGTTCAGATCCCCAAGACCAAAACATCCTCAAGTATAATTCAAATCTTCGATCTAAAACAATAAACGAAAATTCATCGCCGAACAATAATGCTAATTTTCGAGAATAATAAATTATAGACATAGGGATTGTTTGAGCAGATTACCCGAATAATAAAACAAAATAAAAACCCTTCAATGGCTACGAAATTCATGTTTGCTCTACAAGAAACGCAGATCCATAAACAATATACGAAAAGACCCCATTAAAAACAGTCGAAAAGAACAACTTTGAAACTGAAACTGAATTGTCAGCTGAAATAAACGACGAATTAGGGGAAGAAGAAGAAACGTAGAAAACGAAAAATTGAAAGTTAAAGAAAAAATGAAGCAATAAATAAATAAACTGAAATGAAGAGGATTTTGTACCGCGTATCGAAAGGAGAAAACGAAAACCCTAGAGAAAGACAACTAATAGAAGTGAACGAAAGATTATTGTGGGAGATATTGAGCGAAATCGGACTGGATCTCTTTTCCCGTCTTCTCTAGGGTTTTGACCGATATTGATTGCCTTAATTCAGCTCCTTCCCCTTTCCAATATTACAATTCATAACCTCCGGTTTTCTTGAAATTAGAAAAAGTGTCGGCGAATAAGTTTAAAATTACAATTTTACACTCAAGTGTCCTTTTATTTATCATTTGTTTATTTTTGAAATTTCAATTAATACCCTTTTAATATTTTATTTAAACTTTTATTATTGGTCGTCAAAGTGTTATTCAATTAACAAGAATCTTGTTCCTCATGTTAATTAGGGCAAGACATACACAAATTCAATATTGCTTGAGGAAATTTTGAAAATTGGAATCCGTCATATGTTGACGAAGATTGTTATGAGTGAGAAATTGAATAATTTCAGATGGACTTCTCATTTGAGGTAAGAGGAGTTGTTGGCAACTCCAAATGGAATCCTTTCTTTGATTACAACGATATATGCTTGAAGAGTGAATAGAACTCTCTCATTAAAAGTGAAATTACTATAGATTTTGCGTGAGTTTTTTTTTTACTTCTCATTTTTCTTTAAAAAGTAAATATGGCGATTTCATTAAAAGGCCACCAAAGGGTTAGCATACTTGACTGTACCAAAACTATAAAAACGGGTGACACTTATAAGACTAGACATTAGAAACGCACTTCTAATCCAATAACGGGGAGGACACCCCCCAAAAGTGGCTCTATAACATTTGGCCACAGAAAACTGACTCACAGTGAGCCATATCCTAGTTATATAATGGACCTCACACATAGACACATATCTCAAACTAGCAGCGGTGGGAAAGCCAACCGCTGGCTAAGGGAGAAAACACCACGTACTGAGAGAGGTGGGGAAACCACACTCTAGTTGGAGGAACATTCCGGGAATGGGAAAACCATCACCATTGTTACAGTAAAATAAAGAACATAATATAAAAACTATACAAAAATCCACAACCTACATAAGAGAGATATGGTTGAAGATGGTGTGAACGCCACGAGTAAGCAAATCCCCCAAGTTTGTCCATGAGTTTCCAGAGTCCACGGCCAGCTAACACCCTCCGAAGATCGTGTAAAACCACCGAGAAACTCATACCTTCACAGGTCAGATCTAACGAAACGCGCACCTCCTCTGGTTACACGGAGCCCATCACCTTGTAGATCGTTTTGCTGCGAAGTTAAAGATGAGATTTTTATGGCCAGAGGTCCGGTAACACACCGAACTTCTGACAAAAGAGAAAAGGCCGATAGAAAAACTTAGAAAAAAGGAGGAAGAAAAATTTTAGAAAGAGAGCACCTTTGTACTTCTATTTTTACTGCTCATAGATGGTGGAAATTAAAGTTTAAATTTCTAACATTCCCCTCGCTACCTATCTTCCAAAATTTTTCAAGTAACTTCTGCTATTTTTTTTTCCTTTGATTGATTTGCTAAAGGAAGATGCCCCTTTGCCTTTGATGATATGTTTAGCTCGTTTTGTGTTTGTTTTTATTATTTTCTTTCAAGGTAAAGTATCTGATTGTATTAATGAGAAATTTTTATTCTTTCTTTTTGTAAGTTGGGTTTTCTTGGAAAGATATTGAAGTGTTGGCATACATTTTAAGAATTTTTGAAATTTTAACATTTATTATGTGCTTTGTTGATGGATTCAGAATCATATTTCAGAATCATTTTCGATTTATGTGTATTTTTTATGAGAGAAAATACTGTAGCGAACTACGAACCATGATTCGAATCATGACATGAATCTAGCAACCAAACAACAATTGGTTGCTTAGTAGCTTTTGAGGTTGAGAACACAGGCAAACTCGGAATTAGGAATTCGATTGTCTTTTCAAATATTTTCAATAGTTATAAAGTATCACTTAAATTAGATTTTAGCATTATGATTTTAGCGGCACACCAACATGAATTAACATAATTGTAATAAAAGGGTATTTCTGAAAATATTTTAAAGTTCAGGGATTGAGTTAGTGATTTTAAATCCTTTGGGGCAAAGTGAAATGTTGACATAATTTGAAGGGTATGTTAATACAGAATATACTTACACTAATTTGGAAATTTCCAAAAAAAAAAAAAAAAAAAAAAAAAAAAAAGGGGTAAAAAAAAAAACACAATGTTAAAAGAAGAATCCAATCCGTCGAGTTAAAGCTCTCGCTTTTAGCAGCCAAGCAAATACCCTCGCTTTCTTTCCCCGAATTTTGACGGAAAATTCTCCAGCACTTTCTAGACATCCAAACACAATCTCAAAATCCTCTCCTGGTCCAAACCCCAATCCCTCTCCCTCCGTCTCGTCCACCGGTGATTGCTTATCCATGTCGACCTCGGGGACGCCCCAGTTCCGATACACCCAGACCCCGTCGAAGGTCCTCCACCTACGGAACCTCCCATGGGAGTGCACCGAAGAGGAGCTCATCGAGCTCTGCAAGCCCTTCGGTAAGATCGTCAACACCAAGTGCAATGTCGGCGCCAATCGCAACCAGGCATTCGTCGAATTTGTAAGCCGCTCTCTTTCTTTGTGTCCGATTTGGCTCTTTCATTATCTTTCCATAAGATATACTGGTTCTAGCAATTAGGGTTTGGAAGTATAATTCCATGTGAGGGTTAAATCCTGCGTTTTTCTGTGTTTTTCTATGGAATTTCGTTTTTGTTCTATAAACTAACTGAATAAGTTAAATTCCGATTTATTTTTTTCCAGTGAAAGTAGCCTTAGCTGTAGAAATTTGTTGTTTTATTGTGAACAAGTCACAATTGCTGTGACCTATTACATATTTGGTGGTTATGTTGATACAATACAACTAAATTTATTGGTCCAGCAGAATTTGCGTTCTTGATGAAGCAAAAAAATAGAGAGAGATCTTGATAAATTTTTTATAATAGTACTAGTTATGATTAAATTTCTTAGAAAAGGATTCTAAACATACTTAAATAGCTGATGGAAATCATAAACTGGCAAATAAAAATCGGGAAACTATATATATAAAAAAAAAAGAAATAAACATAGACCTGAATTTAAAAAGACTGTGCCAAAAACTGAAAGTTATTCAATACACTGTGTAATAAATAGTTGACATTTGGCTGATTTGTCCATATTAGTTTTATGCAATATAGCGGATTTAGGTCAATTATCTATGGTGGGACTAAGCAATTAGGATAATATTCATTAGGAGAGAGGAAGACCATTGAGTAGGGTGCATATGAACAAATCACCCAAGTCTCAACTATTTATTGGATGGAAGTACCACGTTAGAAATAATGACGTGATACACTTTGGTCTTCCCCTGCCGAGTAATTTCTCCCAAGTACTAGTAACAAGGATATGCTTGGTGAGGGAGAGAATATATGAAGGAAAGAAAGTATGTAACCTCGGCGAGGAAAATGGAGAGGAAGAGGATCTTTCTCTTACTGGATGGGAGTACCACGTTAGAAATAATGACATGATACACTTTGTTCTTCCTCGACTGAGTAATTTCTCTCAAATGCTAGTAACAAGGCTATGTTTGGTGAGGGAGAGAAACTATGAAGGAAAGAAAGTATATAACCTTGGTGAGGAAAATGGAGAGGAAGAGGACCTTTCTCTTATTGTGTTTGGCATGGAGTTCCTTCTTTAATACTTCCACATTGGGAGAGATAAAAATTGGGGAATCAAACAACCATTGCTCCCAAAATCCTTCACTAATCCTCTCATCCTCCCTTTCCTTCCATTGTTCCTTCCTACAAATCAAGTTTTAAGATTTAGAACGTTCACATATATTAAAGACAGTTTTCCTGGCTGCTTTAGTTGGTTTTTCCATAACCATTATTTATTATTTGTGGGAATAGGGTTTTGTGGTTTTTTCTTTAATTTGTTGGTTGTGCATTTTTATTTTTTTTCGTGCTAATTGGCAATAGTGTGTTTGAATATGCTATTTTTTCATTGTATCTCGTTAACATTATTCATATGTTGATAAAAGCAATATTATTACTCTTTGCAGGCAGACTTAAATCAGGCTATTTCGATGGTTTCATATTATGCTTCATCTTCAGAGCCTGCTCAGGTTCGAGGGAAAACTGTATATATCCAATACTCAAATAGGCATGAAATTGTCAACAACAAAAGTCCTGGAGATGTCCCCGGTAACGTCCTGTTGGTAACCATAGAGGGTGTAGAAGCTGGCGATGTGAGCATTGATGTTATCCACTTGGTAAGTGCTTGCCGTCCCAAGTTTATGAAATCTTAACTCTTCTGTATTTAACAGATACTATAGCAACTGGCTGACCCATTTTTGGAGGGGAATAGGACCTTGAGATAAGTTCAAGGACTATTATGAGAATTTTTCATAGTACAAGTCATACAAATAAGATAACGTCTAACTCTGAGATGCACACAACACGTTGTTTCATACCTTCCAGATCAGATTGAATGTTTTCCTGTGACGTTTTAGTACTCCTTTATAGACTCATTTTTCATCACAAATGATTTATATATTTGATAAGTTCTCTTAATTTTTGTTTTTTAAATGTCTTCAACTAGGTGAACAAATTTAAGAAAGAGAAATTTCCTTGGTTTTTGTATGTTTTAAACGTTGTACTTTTGAGTATATTCGGTATGGTTTCTTCTTTCAGAATGTGGAAAACTCTCTCTCTCTCTCTCTCTCTCTCTCTCTCTCTCTCTCTCTCTCTCTCTCTCTCTCTCTCTCTCCCATTTATTGGGAGATATCATCTTGCCATCCTGATTATATTAAGTTCCTTTTTTTAGTTGAAATTAGTTGAATCACAGATGCCGTATCTTATTCAAATTGTTTTGTTGGAGACAGTTTGGAATTATTATCATGTACGTCATACACCTTTCTAAGGTCACGCATTTATGTACAGGTGTCATTCTGCGCTTATTACTTGTCTGTTTGGATTTTTTATTTATTTTTTTAATTGTCCTGTTGTAATTTCACAAGAGAGGCTCTCTGATATCTTTTACATTTTTTTAGTTGCTTCTGATATCACTTTGATGCTGTTACGATTAATTTTAACTTGCAGGTTTTTTCTGCTTTTGGATTTGTGCACAAGATTGCAACTTTCGAAAAGGCTGCTGGTTTCCAGGTTAGACACCAGTTACGCTGACACTTTTTTTGCACTATTATCTCACTATATGATTAATGTAATTGTTATCATTGTTCTTGTTATGTCTTTGCAGGCCTTGATTCAGTTCAGTGATGCCGAGACTGCATCGTCAGCAAGGAATGCCTTGGATGGAAGGAGTATACCTAGGTATTATATTACCTATTTATCCTTTTTATGGAATGTATTGAGATTTGGGAGCTGTCTGACAACTCTTGTATTTTCTACAACTTGAGTTCGAATTTTTTATGTCTAGGTATCTCCTTCCAGAGCATGTCGGTTCATGCCACTTGCGTATTTCATATTCCGCTCACACTGATCTAAATATCAAGTTTCAGTCCCACCGCAGCAGGTAAGACTGCAGGAAAAAGTATCTATTATTAATTTTCGTTTAGTCTCATAATTATTCTGTATTTGAAATTAGACGCACTTCTTAAGTTTTCTTGCTATTGTTTCTAAATGATATTTGGCTTTGGCACTGGGGATGCTGCTAATTGATGGTGCTTTTTGTCATCTAGGGTTTAGTGAAGCCTGCTAGCGCGAACACAGATGTGTTGCAATTTAGTAATTTCCTTGATCTTCTGATTGTACCTTAATATGCATTTGTTAATGTCATTATAATGAAAGTACCTTATTAAACTTCATCTCTACCATAATTTTTTACTGTCTCGCTACTGATAACTTTTGTTTTGTTTGAGGTGTCTAGGTAGTTCCTCTATATAACCAGAGAGTATCTTGTAAACGCATGCCGTAAGAAGTTTCTTTTTCCTCATTCCCTTGGTTCTCCCTTTGGATAGCAATCTTTTCTGTCTAGGTGATACTTACTGCTGTCATCTGTGTTCACTAGAGTCCTATTACTAATATCTTTGAATGGACATAGTACAATCAAACTAGAATCTTGAATAAAATCTAGGCATTTTTTTGTTATCTTCCCTTGTGATTTTAGGTTCCTAAGTTAGGGGATATCAGCACTACTGTAGGAGTCAAGGGGTTCGTTGAAAACACTTTAAGATGCAAGGTTTATTTTTAAAGTCAACACTTTATATGGTACGAGGGAAAAGTGGCGGGAGGGAGACGAGTGGGGGTATTATTGGAAGGATTTTGGGATCTATGGTTGTTTCTAGGAGAGAAAAGAGGGGGGAATTGATTGGATGAGCCGGTGGGAGATTTCTAATCCTTCAAAGAACCCCAATCTTATCTTTCCCAATATGGAGGGATTAGAGGAGGGAATCCATACCAAACACAGTAAGAGAAAAGTCCTTCACCTCCCCTTCCTCTCAATTTCCCTTAATACTTTTTTTTTCCTTCCTCTTACCAAACACCTTAAGGGGGCGTTTGGTATGCAGTAATCTTAAGGATGGGAATGAGAATCTGCAATATTACCACGTTTGGTACAAGAATTATAATTTTTAGATTCTCAGGAAAGTGATTACCATGGGATTTACTTTCTCTCATTTTAAGGTAATTTGAATACCACCCAACATGGTGTTATTCAAATTCCCAGGAATCTCAAAATCATGGGAATCTTACCCACACAACCAATGCATCTTACCACCACTGAGCATCTCCTCCTCCCTGTCATAGCTGCCGAGCACCTCCATCACAGCCATTGTCCAAGCTCGCCGCCGGTGTTCCCCCATCACTGCCATAGATGCCGAACAACCCCCCATCAAAGTCATCGCCGGAGCTTTCCCATCCCTACCATGGCTGCCGAACCCCCACCACCAAACTCATCACCAGAGCTCACCCATCTCCGGTGATGACCTCTGCGAAGCCACCGCCCATCACAACTACTCTTCTCCGTCGCTCACCACCTTTGTCGCAGGCCCCTGTCCGTCGCCCACACGCCGTCACTGCTCCTCCGACAACGTCATTGCTGGCCCTCTTCGCCCCAACCCTTCCCAAATCAGTGGACAACAACTCACTTCCCCTCCCTCTGCTCCACCTATTCCAAAAACAAAAGCTGCCCAGGTCCGATTTGAGCAAGAAGAAAGGCGAGACAAGGCCTGATTTGAGCGAGTGAGAGAGAGATAGTTTTTTTTAGTTATATTTTTTAAATCTAATTTGTCATAATTATAATCACTTAATTAAATAAATATTTTAAAATTATTTAAAATGTTTAATTTTATAAGAAAAATTACATTACATTACTGTACACAAGCAAACACCATAAATAACATTCTTGGGAATCTGACAAAAGATTCCTACGCATAACCAAACATGATAATGTAGGTTTCTAGGGAATCATATTAATATTTGATTCCTATTGATTACTGTATACTAAACGCCCCCTAAATGTTATGTCTATCCCATTTTTGTGATTGAATGGAATAAGTCAAAAGTTTTCATTTATAGTTCTAATGGCATTTATATATTATATTATAGAACTTTTTTTGAAATGGTTTAATGTGCTCTTTTGAGGTTGAACAAATCAGTGGACGAATTTTGTATCGTTCTTCTTATTTGTTAGTTCTGTTGGGCCTTCTTGTAAATAGGAAGAGTCTAAAAACAAACTAGTGGTTCTTTATTGGTAGTATGGTGTTTGATATTCGTATGTCGTCTATATTTGTTTATCTCTGCTTCTGTATACATTCTTATGTTAAGAATGCTATTGCTTTTGTGAAGTTTTTTATCGTCTGAGACAGTTTTCAAATGTCGTTTGTTGGCATTGGGTGTGATATTGGTATAAGATGCATATTAAAAAAATTATCGTTCAATGCTCCTTACTCAATAAATTTAAAGTCCAATGCATGTAATTTCAGTTTCTATCTTCTGCAGGGATTATACAAACCCGTACCTTCCTGTGAATCCTACTGCTATAGAGGGAATTTCTCAGGTAGATTCTTGTTCTTGGCATCTTTACTCCATTTGTTCATGTATTTGCGCACTACTTATGACTCTAGTGCTGTAACCATAAAGAAGAACTAAATGGACTCCAGTGGGTAAACCTAAAAGATAACTTAAGGAAAAGAACTAAATTGGCTATCATCTACAGCCTGCTGTAGGTCCCGATGGAAAAAGGAAAGAGCCAGAGAGTAATGTGCTTCTTGCTTCAATTGAGAACATGCAGTATGCTGTTACTGTGGATGTTATTCATACAGTGAGTGTTTTCTTCTTCTTCTTCGTTCCCTCCCCCCCCTCTCTTTCTTTCTTTCTTGATATTTTAACTACCAATTTCTAGGTTGATTTCTTGTTCATAAAATTGTTATATTCTACACGTTCAGGTGTTCTCCGCATTTGGGAATGTGCAGAAAATAGCAATATTTGAGAAGAATGGTCAAACACAGGCATTAGTCCAGTACCCTGGTATTTCCTTTTTTCATTGACCTTTAGTTGTATCGAGCTTGGTTCTAATTATCTTTGCCTGTGTTTTTGTTTACATGCATATCCTTTCTATTACCCGGTGTTTGTTAGATAATTTAATGCAAGTTCTTTCAGAATTTATTCATTTTGAGCTGTAATTATCAGATATCGCTACTGCAGCCGTCGCTAGAGAAGCTTTAGAAGGACACTGCATATATGATGGTGGCTATTGTAAGCTTCATCTATCATACTCTCGTCATACTGATCTCAATGTAAAGGTATAAATATGTGCTTTTGAGTTACGTTCGTGAGAAAAGAAATGTATATATATATTTAAGAGAAAAAGTTTTAAAGACATCCTTAGAAGGAAAAGTGGGTCCGTGAATGGGAAAAAGATTTGGTCCTGTTATCTGTATGCTTCTTGACACTGAGTTCCTTTTTTCATTGATTGGTTTTTATTATTACAAAATCTTCCAAAAATCATTTTTAATTATTGTCTGTCCTCTTTATACTTGCAGGCGTACAGTGACAAGAGTAGGGATTATACAATTCCAGATGCTAGTTTGCTTGCAGCACAGCAAATTCCTGGAGTCCCCGCCACTCCACCACTGTGGCAAAATCCTCAGGCTGCTCCATTGTACCCCGGGAATGAGTACGGTGCTGCAGCTGCCGTACAAGGTCAAATTCCTCCCGGTCAAGTACCGCCCTGGGATCCAACCATGCAGGCTGGAAGATCAACTTATGTCTCTTCTCCTAGCACTTTTCGAGGTCAAAATTATGGGGCATCGTCGGTTCCTGCATATGCAGCAGCAACAATGCCCTCTGTTTCATCGCCGCTTGCACAGACCGGTCCTATTGCTTCTGGTGTGGCTGCTACGATAATGCAGCCTGGAGCTACAACGAATGCGCGGCCTGGTGGTGCTTCACCTCCAGGAGTGAGACGTGGAGGTGTTTCACCTCCTGGACAGCCTCCTTATTATCGCCAATAGGAAACATCTTCTCTTTTTTAACTAAATGCGAATTACTGTCGATTCTATCCCATTTTCTTACCTTTGTTTTCTCTCTCTTTTTATTTTTATTTTTGCCTTCTTGAGAATCTGTCTTGGAAAGAATTCATATCCCAAATTCAATTTTAGTTGTCTACTGAAAGTCAATGTCTTATCTGCTCCGACTACAACCTGTGATTCCTGTTAAATTTTCATTACAGCATGATTCACAAATTTTGATACTCCATACAAGTCCAGCCGAATTTAGGACTTACATTTGAGATTAAACGCTTTATAATTTCAGGCAAGGAAAGAAAATGGTGAAAAATAAGTCAGGTTGTTTTTAGAATTGATCTCGTTTTTTATTTTTACGTTTTTTGAGAAAGAAAAAATAAAAACGTTTTTCAAAAGGGCGTTTAGCGCAATAAAGACAAAATGAAAATGAAAATTATTTTTTAATTTAGTATAAAATGAGAGAAATAAAAAATGACTTTTAGTCGTTTTTTATTTTTTAATTTCCTTTTATCCTCTCTTGAGCACATAGAGAGAGATATATATATTAATGAGTTTTTTTATACTGTAAACAATCTCTTGATAAAACTATCAAACGTATTTTTAAAAATGATTTATGTCTGAGATTGAAAACGTTTTTATTTTCATTTTTATTTTCATACAAAAAATAAAATTATTTTAAAACGAGTTCCAAACGTGTCCGTTGTCTCTTTGCTTGAATATATTCAACCTTCAATTTGAGAAACTGAAATAAATGTATGAGATAAACTTGATTGATTCTAGCTCAAGAGCATTCTGTTTTTCAGTTGAATTTACTTTTTGTCCGTCTTCATTTTTTTTTTTTTTTTTTTTTTTTTTTGGCATGGCAACTAAGGGGATGCTTCCCTTATATCCAAATTCCTCCGTGCCATATTGTTTTGCAAACAACCAATTAATAAAAATGCTAATTTTCAACTTAGTTGAGGAGAATTGAAAGGGGTCCCTTTTCCTCAAAACTTTTTGCAACCAAAACCAAAAGACCAATGAACCTATACTCTCAGGGGGTTTGTCATCGGGTAATGCACTTGGTTCGTTTCAACATTTGAATCACAGTTTAAATTTTTTACTGTATTGTTTTCTCTCATAAAAATTTAATTCAATTTTTTTGATAATATTTTCTCTTATATAAATCACTTTTTAACTCAAATTGAACGAGCAAGAACGGACCGAAGGCAATGGAAAAGTCAGCTCTTGGTTGGCCTACTTGCTTTGAGAGTGGGTTTTAGAGGGTTCAAGCTTCGCAGTGGCCATGTGGTTATCATGTGCTAGTGGCGAACAAGCAAATTTATTAATCAAACTCCCAGGTTGCAGACTCGTACGGTACTAATTGTAACACCTGAACGTGAACCTGTCTCAAAAGTATAGTTTAAGAGGAATTTTTTTTTTTCCCTTTTTGTGATTTATCTTCCAAAAACTAACCGCTGATTAAGACATTAATTGTTACTTGATAAACAAGATTGGATCATAATTAGGAGCAAGTTAAGAGATCGAGCAAGAAACAAGAAAAGGAATTTGTTCATTTTCTAGCATTGTAAGGGGAGTGAAACGAACACATAAGAACTCTTGAATGGTCCAAACGAAACGTAGATGTAACTCCAGTTCTTTCAAAAATGGTAAGATTTTTGGCACCAAAAGAAAGGGGGAATCCACACGTTATCTTGACTTGGTTTTAGGAATCAAAAGTATTCCCTACATCTAGTTTTTGGAAATACAACACAATTTAATTTGGTACTTAATTTTCTGATAATATAGTACATGGTAAAGACCCGGGGCATAGGTGCAGATATTTCAGTGAGGCAAGGTTTTATAATTATAATTTTTAAAATGTCAGTTGTGCCCCCTGATGAACTGTGCTCCCTCAATAACAGAAAATTATAATTGTGTCTCCATTTAATAATGCTTTCTCTAATGTTTTTCACTACTACACTGGTGTCGATCCCTATTTGATTATATTAGTCATGAATCCTGAATCAGTGTGATATTTATATTAGTTAATTTTTCTATATGACTAGAGTTGATATATATTTTAGTTTAATTTTAAACAGCCAGTCATATAGAAAAATTAACTAAAGTAATGTATTAAATCAAGGTCTCAGACACTCAAAAACTTAAAATAATAAAAAAAAAAAATCAAGTTATCAGAAAAGCCCTCGTAGACGTGTTAAAATGAAGTGAGGATGAAGACGATCAAAATACTAGCATTATCAATGAAAATGGCCAGCTTGCATTGATTTGGACAGAATTCATGCTGGTATGAAATTATTCACTGAACAATTAAAATATGATCCAAATTGCATAACGTTATAGACAAGAGAGATTTTAGGGATTCGATATCAAACACTGGCACATAGCGAACGAAATATTGAGCCACATGCTTTTAACTATATACATACATACTTACATACATACACACACACACACACACACACATATTTGATGAATAACTAATGATATTCCCTTGATTATATTCTTTTTTTTTTTAACGCTCTTATGTATGATCATGATTCATGACCTTAAAAAAATTTTGTGGATGTGTTTTGGGAGAAGGTTTTCTTTTCTTTGTTTCTTTTTTATTTATGTGATAACTGCATTACTGCAGGATATAATCTCCGTTGCATGGATATATATATATATATATATATATTTATATTTATATTTGGCTGGAACGGTTACTGGATTTACTTGCATTCATAGAATTATATTACAGGCTTAAAGGAAATAAAAGAAGAAAAGGAAAAATGACTTTTTATTCTTTTTATTGTGGAAAGAAACTTTCTTAACCATTGCAGTATGTAACTATATTGTCATTGGCCTAGCACATAATTTTATGTTGTCCATTAGGTAGATGTCACTTATACAAGCACATGGTCCACCTTTAATCCCTAGAGAAAGAAAAGTTCCTTTCCCAACACAACCTGCTAAGTTGATTTTGAAATGTTTCCGAAACATGGTTTGTCCATGTTTGCTGGTGAAGAGACCACATCCCCCATATATCCTCAAGTTACATTTAAATCATTTACTTCAATTGAATGTATGTATTTATCCGTCAGTGGTATTATTTTTTTAAACGTGTAGTATGTAATATTAATCCGGCGGTTGTAATAAATTAGTTAATTGATAAAAAAAAAAATAATTAGTGCAATTAGATACTTATCACATCACGTCATTAAATTTTTATGTTTGATGGGTAATCACCATTAAAAACGTAACTATTAAAAACTCGTCCATATTATCTGCATTGCATCTGCTGATCATAAATATAACTAATTGAAATTTAATGGCAAATTAAAACGCGTCATTAATTGAAAAGGGACTTTGTTGTGGGATTTAATGAAGAAAGAAAATATATAGCTAGGGTTCATGACACTTAATATTGGTGGATGTCCTAACGGTGTATAAAATGACATGTAGGTGAAACGGGTGTGTATCCATAAATATGGTCGTACCATTTTGTCGACTAAAATTGAAGACAAGGAATCAGGAGTGAAGAACGAACTCTTTCGTTAATGAGTTTTCACACAACCATATGCATGTGATCATGTAATGAGAGAGGCAAGACAGTAATGAAAGAGAAGATCTTTGGAACCTCAATGATCACCATAACTGTGTACATATCTGTACTCAAGGACAATCATGGAGGATTTTGTGTTTCTCAATTATGCTAGTTATCCCACTAAGATACGTCTCCGTTTGATATATGGATTATCTACTCTAATCAATCCATATTTGGAGATATTAAAATTGAAATTTAGAGTTCTTTAAAGGATTTGAGATCTCTCTCGCTCAATTTATTTTTCAAGAGAAAATTACAGATTCTACTTCTTTAAGTACTTCACTTACTAAAAGTATCACTTTTAAAAAAACTCTATCTCTTGACCAGTTATAGTCTAAAAGGTAGAAATATATGGACTAATGTTAATGGATAGAAATAAAAATGGCTTTATTTTAAAAAGTACTTTTAAAAATTGCCCTTCTTTCAACTTTTCTCTCCTACTAAATTACCTATATAAGTCCAAAAGACCTTACATTAATTGCCATCCCTCTCTCTCAATCTCATTTAAATTAAAAAAAAAAAAAAAAAAAAAAAAAACCTTAGAGGGGTTTTGAGCCTACACCTTATAATGAAGTTAAGTATAAAATTACCGTTAAATTATATGTGCTACATGTCATCGGTTCTTACACTTTTCTCACACACCAAACAAGCTCTTACGAAATATAAATTCCGGGAGATTAAACTAATTACGCAGAAACTAGATCTTTCATTTATCAACTTTGGAATATAAATTACAGGAGATTAAACTAATTAGTTCCACACATCGGAGTCATCTTAAATGCAAAAGTAGTCTTACAATCAATATAAAAGCTCAAACAAGGTCGGTCACAGTCGGATGCACAATGCATAGTGCTTTACGTCACTATACCAAACAGTCCATGAATCACTATCACATGGCGCTTGCAACGCAGATGCATGTGCCTAACTTCATATAATGGGATTATTGGGAAATATATATATATATATATATGTACGTATATGTATATGTGTGTAACATCTGCTTCAAGCTACAGTCATTAGTATGATCAATATCAGGCTTCTGTGGCCATAGCTTTGTATTGTCGATTAAGTTAGCTAGTACGTACTTAAAAAATTACAATTAATAACGTTATCTTTTGGCAATACTGGTAACCTTTAGTTTCCCTTTTGAAGAAATTTCTTCCAGGCGGCTGTACAATCATATATTTGGAGAATCAAGCCTCTAAAAATAGCTTTTTGTGGGAATTAGAGATTCATATTTTAGCAAATTAAACTCACCTACGTGGGGATGGAATTAAGTTATGTGTATTCAAAACTTTAGCAGGAAAAAAAAAATAATGAAAAAGTTCTGTATTTAAAAAAATTACACACCTATTTTCTTGAGCCCCAACTAATTTATAAAAAAAAAAAAAAAAAAAAAAAAAAAAAAAAAAAAAAAAAAAAAAAAAAAAAAGGAAAATATAAAAGGTCACTAGAACGGAAACAACCAAGTAGTACGCTGTACGCATATATACAGTATCAATCTTGACAAAAATATCAAAATCAATATAAAAATCATACTAGAACGGAAACAACCAAGTAGTACGTTGTATGGATATATACAATATCAATCTTGACAAAAATATCAAAATCAATATAAAAATCATACTAGAATGGAAACAACCAAGTAGTACGTTGTACGCATATATACAGTATCAATCTTGGCAGAAATATCAAAATCAATATAAAAATCATATCTCACAACTTGATTAAGTGTAATATTGCATAAAAGTAACATTGCTGAGCCAATAATTCAACATTCATGAGTTCCCAACAAAAGTTTAATTCCCACAATTCTAACAGTAACAATTTTCTTTTGCAGAAGTACCAAAATCTCTCACAATATTGGTCGTGATCAGTTAATCAAGTGAATCAAGTCACTAAGGGTCCATTTAGTTCACGGATTCAAGCCGGTAATTTTGATTCTGAATTCAAATTTTGTGAGATAACCATTAGCGAAAATTTTTTTTTATTCAAAATTTTTTTATACGAGAACTGAATCAGAATAATAGGTTCAAGTCAGAATAATAGATTCAAGTCAGAATAATAAGTTTAAGTCAGTAAACCAAACGAGCCTTAAAAGGCCCACCGAATCTAGTCCAAAGATATGACCTTCTTCTTTATTATTTGTTATTCCCCTAGTTAATTTATCCATTATTCATAGACTTAATAGTTTTTCCTTATGCTACGTACTTTTTCATCTTTTGCCTAGTAGCGCATCTATGGTATCAGATTGATTTTTGGTGGAAAATAATATCGGTATAACAAACTATATGGTCAAGAATGTCACTAAACGACACATTATTGCGTCCCATATCGATCAGCTGCTACACACACACATGTATGCATTTGTGCTATTTTCTTCTCTCTTGTCAATGCAATATTTCTTCTCACATGCTTACACCAAATGCAATATCACATACGTATAATATTTGTGCAAACATACGAACCCCCAAAATAGACACATTAAATGTAAAAACAACATGATTTGACAATAATACTAACAAAAATGATTTTGACCCTTTCTTATGTTAACCATTTTTTCTTTTTAATCATCGTGGCTTTCATCATAAGGGAAAAGTGGCATTAATAGTGTACCATCTTAATATTGATGACATTCTACTACTTGGCAGAGAGACCTAGTACTTGATCGGACAGTGAAGAAAAAGATTACTACACAACATATATAGTGACAATTATTGGGCTATCTATAGCTCTAAATCATTCGATAAATAGAGCAATATAACCTTTTTGTTGCTTAGAAAAAGTAAGAAAACTTTATTTGAAAATGGTAGGGTAGTCATAATATATACTGACGGATGAAGGGAAAAACAAAAAAAAAACAAAAAAATCTTAAGATCCCGGGGCCTTTTGAAACTTGAAAGCTAATTGCATACAAAAAGCACAAACAAGAGATTACTGTTCGACCTTTTCTATCAGCTTTTTCACAAATTGTTAGTCTTTTTGGCTCATTTGATTTGGCTGGTACTATTTAAAAGGATAGAACAAGGGTATTATTAATTCTAACTTGGAAGTATTAAAAGAAACTATAACAAACTGTTATATGATATATGATCATGTATATGGGTCGAGTTTTCAATAGATAGTTACGTTTTCATGGTAATTATTTATCAAATATAAAAATTTAATGACACAATATAATAACAATTTAATCTCATTAATTATCATAAATTTTTTTGATTAATTATTCAATTCATTATAACCGTCAGACTAATATTTATAGTTAAAACAATTATACCTATTAGTAAGTATTGTGACAACCATCAATCTCTTAAGGTAAAAAAAGTCAAATATGATAAGTCGTGCAGTCTCATATCCAGTGACGAAGCTAGAAATTTTGGTCAAGGGGCTAATTAGTGATAGAGTTAGAATTTTTTTTTTCTGGAGCCACTATGAAAATTTTTATATCAATTAAAAAATATATATATTCTAATTAGTCAGCCATAACACAATTATAATTTTTTTTATACAGTGAGGACACGACTGAAATTTTATAAGAATTTTATGGTTAAATTGATAAGTTTGGTAAATTAATTATTTAATATTTAATTGATTATATTTTGTTAGGGTCCTGTATTTTTTCTATCTAAAAACATTATAATGCATAAATTATACACTTTGCCTAACTTATTATTATGTAGGCATTCTTTTTTAAAAGGGGACATGCACACTAGTGAAAAATAAAATCATACAAGAAACAAGAAAATGAGGGAAGAAAACAATAGACTTGCTTTACCAAATAATCCAAGCTATTATTAAGGAATAAAAGATCTTATTAAGAACTTAGAGACATTATTTAGTTTTGATTTAAAGTAATATTTTTCAATTTTGGGGAATGAAATAGATTTTTTAATTTTTTTTAGTGGGGCTATATAAATATTTGGTATAGATAAGTATTATAATTGTAAATATGTAAAAGTTGAGGGGGGCTAGACCTGATGTACTTTCGTCATTGCTCACATCGTTTGGAGATGGTTATAGGTGATGATTTATAAGGAATGACATCATCTCACAATGGTATAAGACCTTTGAGGGTGAAGTTTAAAAATAAAATTATGAGGGCTCAAATCCGAAGCGGTCAATATCGTATCTAAGTGAAGATGCATGTCGTTACAGATAATATCAGAACCATTACCCAGTGAGAAGTGTGGCCAACAAAAAAAATCGTTTAGTTATATATTATTGGTGTTCAAATGGGTCCTACAGAATGGCATGTTACAAAGTCCAAATATTTAGGGAGTTAACAGCAAGAGAAAAAAAAAAATTTCTAGTAGACTAGCTTGCAGTCCTGATAATAATATAACTTGGTAAATTAATTATTAAAGAAGAGGATCTTCTCGTTAAAATTCTTGAGCTACAAGCAGATCAGGAACATCATATCCATATGTGCTGTTATATCTTCAATGCCCACTCAAGACTATCACGAGTGGCATTTAATGGCCTTTTTTCATTATTTATATATCAAATGGATATGACAGCGAGGGAAATAATCATTTCGCAAATGAAAATTTTCCCCTGCAATAATAATAATAATGTATAAATTAGTCGATGCTTCCCATATTTTAATTTTAACTTAACAAATTTTCAGGAAAAATTCAACTTAACAAAGATATCTGACATATATTGTAGTAGTGTCTGTGTGATTTAAATGAAAAAAAGCTCTTATAATAATAATGAAACTTCAGGGCATAAGAAACAAATATTTATTATAATATATATATATATATATATATCTCGACTGGGAAAAAAAAGTATTGTATTAATATTCCAGCCAAAATCCACGCGGTTTCAATAATCCTAAACATAAAGCCAAAAAATTTCAACAAATAATTAATTAGTGAGCGAAATCAAGTTAGCCCTCATGCAACTTTCATGGGCCCAAGTCTAACAGATCAATAAAGGATGTCAAGAGGGTCAGTGTGGTGTGACGTTGATTGATCCTCTCTATTTATTCCTCCTCAAACCCCCTCTACCTTCTTCATTTCCTCAAACAAACTCCTTTCAAGGTTCGTTTTTTCTCCCCTCTTTAACATAATATAATTTCTCTTCCCCATTTGCCTGATCTCTTCTAGTACTACTAAATTATATGCGCAATAATTTTAGCGAGAAAAAAAATGCACTAGTATATAGTTCTTAATAATAAGCATACATATACACTGATTATATATCTGTTCAAGAGTCGCTATATATTAGTCACAATTGTCTTTCTGTGCAGAAAAGAAAAATGGCATTCTTGGGGATTTTTCTTTTGGGGTTGCTCTCAATGGCTTCATCTGTTAGAGGTTACTACTATGGCGGTGGTTGGACCAACGCTCACGCCACTTTCTATGGAGGAAGTGATGCCTCTGGGACAATGGGTATGGTTTCTTAGTGTTATATATATATATAATTATGTATACATACTGAATGTTTAAAAATCAGGTTTAGATTTCTCATTACTGCACATTATTTGATTTTAATATGGTTATGATGCAACCATTCACAAGTATAAACTGTCGGTGAGTACCGATTAAAGATGTCATTCTATCGCACTTGCGTACTATGATTAGTTTTGATAAGATAATTAACATGATGCGAAGTTGAATTAGTGAGGTAAGTAATTTATTTGGAAAATTGAACTACAGGCGGGGCTTGTGGGTACGGAAATCTGTACAGCCAGGGCTATGGGACAAACACAGCAGCACTGAGCACTGCATTGTTCAACGATGGGCTAAGCTGCGGGGCGTGTTACCAGCTCAGGTGCGTCAATGACCCTCAGTGGTGCCTCCCGGGCTCAATCATCGTCACCGCCACCAACTTCTGCCCTCCCGGAGGGTGGTGCGACCCTCCGCAGCTCCATTTTGACCTCTCCCAACCCGTCTTCCTTCGCATTGCCCAATACCGCGCCGGAATAGTCCCCGTGGCCTACAGAAGGCAAGATTTAGTAGTTACGACGTGTTATCAACTCCATGATAAATTAACTAAAAACCGTCGTGTAAAACTGTGGCATAATACATTTTATGATTAAGCATGTAAATCTACTTTTTTTACCCTTGTGGATTTTTGTAGGGTGAGATGCAGGAGAAGTGGAGGGATTAGGTTTACAATTAATGGGCATTCATACTTCAATCTAGTGCTTATAACCAACGTTGGTGGAGCTGGTGACGTGCATGCAGTGTCAATAAAAGGTTCAAGGTCTCGTTGGCAGCCAATGTCAAGGAACTGGGGACAAAACTGGCAGAGCAACTCCTACCTCAACGGCCAAAGCCTCTCGTTTATCGTCACCGCCAGCGACGGCCGCAGCGTCATTTCCTACAACGCCGCGCCCGCCGGTTGGTCCTTTGGGATGACATACACGGGAAGACAGTTTCGCTACTAGCTAGACGTTAGACAATTAGTACTCAATTATTAATCATGCAATTAATTAGATGCTACGTAAATTATATAAAAAAGGGTCATAAAAGTTTTCATAAAAAATGGTCCAAATATTGCCCTAGTGATTTGGTTTGAAGCTTTTTATCAAGGCTTAATTATTATAATATAGTTGCTGTGAAGAGTGATGTTTTTGTTTGCAGCCAAGTTTGGTACGGGTACGGGTTGCCAGGAGCTGTTATTGATTTTTATGATTAAAAAAAAAAAACTATGAATGATTAATGAATAAAGGTTTAAATCCTTTATCTGTTTAATCCGACAACATCGCATTCCATGTTCTATATGTGTGTTCGACACTATAAGAGAGAAAAATTATAGGATGATCGCCGAGTGACTTAAGATTATGCTCGTGAGCGTAATGGTATAAACCTACTTGACTATTAGACCGATCGGTCGAACAAGGAATATTATAATTAGTAGACACTGTAAAATATATATACACGATATTGGGCAGTACAATCTAGCTAGTACTCTTATGCTAGATTAATTATATATGTCAATTATATGATTGAGTAACAGTTATAACCAAATTGCATGCATGAATGAAAAGTACCGATGCAGTAGAGCAGAGTAAATAGGTAATAACTTTATGTCGCATTGAACTTTCTTGTCCGCTTGATTTTTTGATTGGAGAAGAAAACTTCTAGTGCCGATTCAAATCATTTGTACATGATTATTGACAAGTGTACTTGATGCAATATTTATTAGAAACCGTGACAATAAAAAAATAAAAAAACGTAATCCTAATTTCTAGCTACATAAATTACATATATGTAATCAAACATACATTTTATCAAGATACTGTCATACTTGCACTATTTATCAACAAAAAGTTTCAATTTTCAGCAAGATGTACAAGCTATGAAATTTTTTTCTTATTAATAAAAAAAAAAAAAAAAGATGTATAATTTTTTTTTTTTTTTTTTTTTTTTTGTAATGTATATATAGTGAAACCAGCTAGCTAGCTTGCAAAGTTTGGACATGCCCTAAACCCCCAATATCTCAGAAATAATTATACATACATGAATAAATAGAATATATATATATATATATAGACATGTCTACGTTTTATTTTTCCTCTGATCCAATGGATTTTAGGTATCGAATACCGTAATACGTACAAGTCCTAATAATCTATACTGTCTACGCAATTAATATGGCTACTTGCCGACGGAAATTCTTGCCAAAAAAAAAAAGGCTCTAGTCTTAATAGAGGACTTACATAACCAGGCCCACCAAGGGTACAGTTCAGTGTGCAAGTTTCCTTGTCCTCATGAGAAAAGATGTATTTCGTGTTATCACAGTTCCGAGAGTGAATTCCATCCCCCCCAAAAAAAAAAACAAACGAACAAACAAATAAATTTAATTATAAATAATAAACAACAAAAGAGTACTACGTTGCCTTGTCCCTTTCTCCATCCAATTAGTAGCATATTGGAACAGTACGATTTCATCATATGCTTTTTATGCAAAAGAAGGAAAAAAAAAAAAGAAAAAAAAAGGAAACGTTTTAGGCCAAACAAAAGAGAGAGGAAAAGAGAGAGAGAAGAAAAAAGGGAAAACTTCTAGCTCGTGTACAAAAGTAGAGGGAGAAAATTTATTTGGATTTTAATAGTTGAGTTATATTATTATGTTTTGAAGTCACATTTTGCAAAGCATTTCAACAGCACCGACAGAAATGGCATTAATTCGTGTCAGGCCTCGTGTGGACAAAATACTACCAGAGAGACAGATATTCTGGTCCGCTTTTGAATGACTCATATTACCGTTTTGCGCTTTTTTTTTTTTTTTTAAATCATCCGTTAAAAAACGAAAACAGAAATTCGAAACTATTGTCAGTTTAGAATTTCAAAAATAGTATGTAATTAGTAGAGAGTTACGAGTTTAGAATTTAAATTTTTTTATAGTAAAAAATTCTCATAAATAATCATATTTAATTTTTTTTATTACAGTAAAAAACTCTCACATAAAGTCACATCTCAACTTAAATTTTAAACTCGAATAAGCGAAGTGAACGGGGTCTTAGTGAACATTTGATTCACGAATTTAAAATTATAATTCAGAATTATTTTTAATTTATGTGTATTTTTATAAAAAAAATATTATAATGAGTCACGAATTATAATTTAAATCATGACACGAATTTTCATATTAAATACCTTTTAATTACTGAATTTGTTTTGTGAATTATGACTCAATTTACAATCATAGCGCAGGTCTCACTCATAGGGTAAGACCACCCTTGTATTAATTAGAGTCATGTACTTACGACCATGGGTGTACACTTTTCGTGTGAATGTAATTCAAACTCTAAAAAATAAAGATTTTTTTGGGTGCGTTAATATTACGGCCTCTTAATGGTAATAAGACTTCATTTATTTTATCGATTTGAGTTTTTAATTTTAAATTTTTACAGTTAAAAATTCTTAAAAAATATCACATCTAACTTTTTCAGTTACAGTGAAAAATTCTCAAAAAATATCACATTTTAACTCGAATTGAAAACTCGAATCTGCAAAATAAATGAGAGCTAAAACTATATGCTTTGCATTTGCCAAGAGGGGTTGCTATATTACCTGTTCTCTTAAGCCAATCTCACGAGTGCTTCTCACATTATTATGCTAATTGAATTGAGTGAATCCGACCTCGTTGATCACTGTATATATATATATATTTGAACTCGTGCTAGCAGCACTCTTGATCTTTTCTTTTATTTTTATTTTCTAGCACTCTTTGGTACTTTTGCTCAAACAACTTGGGAGAATTATGTGTTATATACCATTTAAGAAAAAAAATCATTAGCAATAGATATATATATATATATATATATGTGTGGTTCTTAACGTAGTATTTAAAAGTGAAAAACGCGATGTGACACTAAAAATTTTTATTCATTCAGAATCAATATTGTGTTTAACAACTGTCGTATCACGTTTTAGTAGGATAGAGAAAGCCCTACACTCTGCAAGATAGCCTGCATTTTGCATTGACGATCCATTTCACATCATGGAGTCGCCACCACCACATGCTAAGCATCTAGGCAAAGCTGTTATCCAACACCAGAGCTGTCCATTGCACCTTTGTCACAAAGATAGGGATACAGGGAAGCGTGGTTCCTGGACAGTTAAGCGCGTATATTGCATTGATTTTGGGCTTATAACATTGATGTGAAGATAAGGAAGAAGATATATATATATATATATATATGTATGTATATGTTGTTGGTGTGTTGATTTGAGTGACTCCGTACAGGAAGCAGTAGGTCCTATGAAGTTAATGTTAAATATTGACTCGTGAGAGAGGAAAAGAAGGCCAAACCCTGTTCCCCAATGGTGCTATACAGCTTGCTTAGCTGCAAAAGTGAAATGGAAATTTCTTGTCTTCATGGACCCTTGGTTGGGCCCATTGCTCCAGAGTGATTCGGTCAACTGGCGAAATATAACTCTGTTTATTTTACTATTTTATTTCAATTCAATTTAGTTTGAATAGTTAATACAGTTTAAACTGATAATTAGTAAGTATGTAGTTTAAATTATATTTTATGTTTGAATTAAGTTAAACAGTTAAATTTAGAGTTTAATTTTCTCTCAAGTTTAACCGTTTAAATAATTTTAAACAGTGAAAAGTGCTCATTCTCTCTGCTTTTCACACCTACTAAATAGAAATTCAAGAGACGTTTAGTTCATAGATTAGAATCATTTTTTATTTACGTGTATTTTTTGTGAGAAAAAATACTGTAGCGAACCATGAACAATGATTCGAATCAGGGTACGAATTCTCTTACTAAACGTCACAATTTTTCTGTTTAAATTAAAACTTTAACTACAATCAAAACGTCAATTCAAACTATAATTTAAATCATACAGTTTAAATTTTTCTGTTTAAATTAAAAAGTTTAAACTAATAAAATTTTAATTAGCAAACCAAACGAGTACATAATCTTAGAAAGCTAATAATCCAATATATCATTATTATTATTATTTAAAAAGTTGAGCTTGTTTATCCATAAAAATAAGTTCAGTAAATTAAACTAAAAGTGGTATTGACTCTGGTTTACACGATAATATCTTATCTAGTGTGGAATGTGGATTTTGTTTTGGTGTCGCAAACTTGAGATTTTGATTTGACAGCACATACAGGCCCATGCTAGGTATGGGGCCTACTGTAGCCGATAATTTACGGAGAGATGTATAAGTGTAAAATTTTACCTTTTTATTTTTTATTAATATTCTTTTAGTTTAATAATTATATTAGTAAAAACATATTAATTAAAAAATGGTAAAATTTAAGAAGACGTTTGGTTTATGGATTAGAATCGTGAGATTAAAATAATTTTTGATTTACGTGTATTTTTTATGAGAGAAAACACTATAGCGAACTATAAACCATAATTCAAATCAAGATACGAATCCCCAACCAAACAACCCCTAAGTCTCATACATCAATAATTCTCTCATAATCCAATGCTAGAAATTCACATGTTTGTGTTTTTGTTGTGCCTAGTCTTCGGCTTGGAGTTCATGTTTGGTCGACTATAAATGAACATCGTATTGTACGTTAACATACTATTAAAATCTTTAGTACATTGTGTTAGTATTTTAAAAATTTTACTGTATTTAAACTCTATTATTTAAATTTTACTATATATGTACAGAGTCCTAGAATATGTATCAGATCCAAGGTCAGGACGAATGTTTTGAGTCAGGGTCAGGACTTGGGCCTGTGTTGGATTAATCAGACCTGGGCCTGGATCGGGCCTTGTTGAGTCCGAACTTTTATTTATTCTCTGGATAAATATTTTTTATTAATGTAATTATTTAACTAAAAATGTTATGAATTAAAAATAAATGGTAAAAATTTTAACACATGTACTTTTAAAAAGTACTTATCAAGATTACCTTTTAAATTAAAAAAAATTTTTAAGAATGCCAACATTATTTTATCTAAAACAAAACTAACATTTGGTTCATGGATTCATAACTATTTTCATTTTACGTGTGTTTTTTATGAGAGAAAATACTGTAACAAGTCACGAACCATGATTCGAATCATGGCATAAATCCCTCTTCTAAACATCCCATAAGAATTCATCCAACGTTGACATACAAAGGTTGAATTTACAGCTAGGTTGGTTTTTTATGTTTTTATTTTTTTTATTTTTTAAATAACCTATCTGAGTTAGGACTCATTCTACACATGGGCAAGTGATAGTAAGACTTTTAAGAGCATTCCACCAATGCCTATTTCAAGAGCTCCCAAGGACAAACTCTTCTCTCTTGTGGAAGACCCAGTTAGGCTTTTGAAATTAGCAGCTGACAATAAAAACCTGAAAGTTGGGAAACAAATCCATGCCCATGTCGTAGTTACAGATAAAGTCTCCAGTCATAGCAATTTGGTCCAAACAAATTCCCTTATAAATCTCTACGAGAAATGTGGTCGACTTTCGGTTGCTCGCCAACTGTTTGATAGTATGCGCCTGAGAAATGTCGTTTCTTGGAGCTCCTTGATGGCCGGGTATTTGCATGAAGGGCTTGCCTTGGAAGTTCTTGGCTTGTTCAAGAGTATGGTTTCGGCGGACTATAATCGTCCGAATGAGTTTGTGTTGACCACTGTTCTTTCGTCATGTTCTGATAGTGTGAGAGTTGAGGAGGGCAAGCAGTGTCATGGCTATGTGTTGAAGTCTGGATTGGTGTTTCATCAGCATGTGAAGAATGCCCTTGTTCACATGTATTTGAGGTGTTCGGATGTGAAAGGCGCTATGCGGGTTTTTAGTACAGTTCCGGGTTATGATGTTTTCTCTTATAATTCTGTATTAGATGGGCTATTAGAAGAAGGGCATCTAAAGGAAGCAACAGAAGTTTTAAGGTTGATTATGAGGGAGGATGTGGTGTGGGATAGTGTTACTTATGTTACCGTTTTTGGCCTTAGTTCTAGTCTTAGAATTTTGAGATTAGGTTTGCAAGTTCACTGCCGGATGTTGAAGACCGACATTGAGTCTGATGCCTTTGTTAACAGTGCGATCATGGATATGTATGGGAAATGTGGAAAGCTTGTAAATGCGGTGAATATTTTTGAGCACTTGCGAAATCGTACTGTTGTCTCCTGGACGACAATCATGGCTGCCTATTTCCAAAACGGGTACTTTGAGGAAGCATTCAACCTTTTCGTGAAAATGAAACTTGAAGATGTTAGTCCAAATGAGTATACTTTTGCTGTGTTGTTGAACTCGAGCGCTTCTTTGTCCGCGCTGAGACGTGGAGCGCTGTTACATGCCTGTGCCGATAAGTCGGGTTTCAAGGATCATGTCATTGTTGGAAATGCACTGATCAATATGTATGCCAAGAGTGGCAACATTGAAGCAGCAAATGAAGTGTTCTCAGACATACAATATCGAAACGCCGTGACATGGAATGTGATGATCTCGGGGTATTCCCATCATGGGCTTGGAAAGAAAGCTCTACATGTGTTCCAAGACATGCTGACTGCTGGAGATCATCCTAACTACATAACTTTTGTAGCCGTTCTCTCTGCTTGTGCCCATCTGGGTCTTGTCCAACAAGGGTTCGATTATCTGAATCGAGTAATGAAACAATTTGGAATTGAACCTGGAGTGGAGCACTATACATGCATTGTTGGGCTTTTGAGCAGGGCTGGACTGCTTGATGAAGCCAAGAACTACATGAGCTCTGTATCGGTCAAGTGGGACGTTATTGCCTGGCGCACTTTACTCGATGCTTGTTTTCTGCATCGAAATTATGGTTTAGGCAAGCGAGTTGCCGAAATTGTTGTGCAGATGGACCCTAATGATGTGGGAACATATCTACTTTTGTCGAATATGTATGCTAAAGCGAGGAGATGGGACGGAGTTGTGAAGATTCGAAAACTTATGAGGGAAAGGAACATCGAGAAGGAGCCTGGAGTGAGCTGGGCTGGGTGGAGATAAAAGACACTGCCCATGTCTTTGTTTCAGAGGATAACTCCCACCCCGAGTCTAGACAAATTTACAAGAAAGTAGCGGAGCTGTTGGCCAAGATTAAACTATTGGGGTATGTACCAGATATTACTGCGGTATTGCATGATGTAGAGGATGAGCAGAAAGAAGATTTTCTCAGTTATCACAGTGAAAAGTTGGCCATAGCATATGGCCTAATGAAAACGCCTTCTGAAGCGCCCATCCGTGTTATTAAGAACCTTAGGATGTGTGATGACTGCCATACTGCAGTGAAACTGATTTCGAAACTCACTAATAGAGTAATTATTGTTAGAGATGCGAATCGTTTCCACCACTTCAAAGATGGGCACTGTTCTTGTGCAGATTACTGGTGATAATTTGAATTTTTAAGTTATAGCAGCAAAATTGCACATCATAGAGTTAGCCTTCATGTCAGAGTCACCAAGACTCTTGACTATCATGCAGTCTTTCTACAGTTTTTGAGTTTCTTACAACCCAACTGCATTTTCTTGTGGGTTAGAAAGATTGTCAAGTTTTTTGTCTTTCAGATTGTGGAACTATGGCACAGGGTTTACTTGAGTCACCACGGCGAGACTAGAGCTGAAGTTTTAGAAAACAAGTGCCCTGCTGGATTGCCCTTTTAAGCAGGCCAAAATTTCTTGATTCCAGCAGCTTGGACATGCGCGTTTAGAAATCGTTTCAAAATTATTTTGTTTTTTGTATAAAAATGAAAATGAAAACGTTTTCAATCTCAGATAGAAATCATTTTTAAAAATGTATTTGGTAGTTTTATCAAGAGATTATTTTCAATATAAAAAAACTCCTTAATGTCTTTCTCTCTCTCTCTCTCTCATCGAGAGAGGAGAAAACAAAAATGAAAAATGAAAAACGACTAAAAATCGTTTTTCATTTTCCCCCATTTTACACTAAACCAAAAAATCGTTTTCATTTTCGTTTTTTGTCTTTAATTGTGCCAAATGCCGTTTTAGAATCATTTTCATTTTTTTCTCGGAAAACATGAAAAATAAAAACAATAATAATTCCAAACATGGCAATTAGCTTCTTTTGCAGATTTTACTTTTAGTCCTATCAAAATTCTCCGAGTTTGTGAGAATTGCAAATTTTTTATTTTCCCTCTTTTGGTATTAATGATAAAGACCATAGCTAAGCGAAAAACTGTATAATCTTATTCGTTAATTAGTGTCAAAAGAAAAATAGGGATATTACTTGCTTTTGTATAGTAAATTCTTTGTTGCAATACATTATTTTGTATTTCTTGACCATGCTATTTTATTTTTATGCTGAAAAGTGAAACAGGCTCATCTGCGTTCTTAATGCCCTATATACAAAAGGTATGTTCCATGTGGAACCTTTTTAGGCAGTTACTGGAAAAGAATGAACAATTTCTGCAAGAATTATTGCAACAAACATCTCATAGTTTCAAATATAATATTTTTACTAGATATTGGGGAAAAAAAACAAAAAACAGAGTAAAAAAAGAATAAATTCAGCAAAAAGTGGTCTCCATAAATTTCACAAATTCATTGAAATCTATCTTTCCATCTCTGTTTATGTCAAAGTTCCTGATCATCTTCTTGCAGTCTTCAAGCTCTGATCCTTCCTTCAAGCCCAATATGCACAAAACTCCCTGCAACTCCTTTGCATCAATGAAACCGTCTCTATTCTTATCAAACACATCAAAAGCTTCCTTGACCTCCTCCAAACTCGGCTCACTCTCGTCAAACAGCGATGAAAGCTCATCGGAACCGAAAGACTCGCGCAGTTCCTCGCTATCCCGGCTGCAAAAAATTCCAAACTTCCCCATCACCATCTCCACATCTTCTCTTCTCATCCTCCCATCTTCATGATCATCACCATCTCTCTTGTTGACATGAGAAACTGCCTTGTGGATCAACTCGGTATCCAAGCCTTTCTTAACCCGAATATTCGAGTTGGCATAAACCAAGTCGGACTGGACATAAGACTTGAAGAAGCTTGGGAAAAACTTTTCTATGATGTGAACCAAGCTTGGAAATATCATGAAAAATAGTTGTAACAAAAGCAGCAATATTGCGATAAGTGGCGTGCTATTATCTGATTGAGTCTTCTCCATAGAAATAAAGTTGTACATGTTATTGAACATGGCTGTTTCTTTATACCTGTATCAAAACAAAAGTACTACCTGAGAAGTGGGAACTAAACACAATTCCTCTAGTGCCTGAAGCGTTTAAGGAAATAAAAAGTGTTTTTGGTTAGTAGTTGTAATAGAGGAAGGCTTACATTGATTGCTTGTGAGGAAAATGAAGAGGAGGGAAATGGGTTTTATAGACCAAAATATTTGGTCACATAATTGAAGTTTGCAGACATCAAATTTGGTCAGCCTTGAAGACTGGGGAAAAGGAAAGGAAGTTAAGGGAAGGTGCTTGTGTGTTGCCCAACAACGGGTCGTGAAGGAAGGTGGTAGAGAAAAAATAATAACAATAAAAAAAAAGGAGGATGAAAATATGGGTATTTTTTCAAATATTTTGTGGCTGCTTTTCCTTGTCTTATACTCTTGTCCATTTTGGATTTATAGTTTTTGAAAAATAAAATAAAATAAAATAAGAGGAAGAAATGGTCACCGCCAAAACAATATAAGGGAAATTTCTAGTTTTTTCAGGAAAAAGATTATATAATATATTTGAGGGCCTGCTTTTTCTTTAGATTTATGTTGGATTTTCCAGGAATATGCATGTTTTCCGATTTGACCACTTGAGCTATTTTAAAGAAAATATCATAATCAATTAAAAGAAAATATCATAATCCACATAGTGGGCGGCCCACTATTGCCCTGACTTTCCACGAACCTTATTTTTCATGCACTTGAAGTTTCCATGAAAGTGGGATTGTTGATTTTTTTTTTTTTTTTTTGAGTAAGTGGGATTGTTGATTTGTCTACTTGATTTATTATATTTTCATTTGTTTTCCTTTTGAGGTGGTCTATTTAAACAACCTTTTGATCCAGTGAAGGAACAACACCAAATATGTGAAAGTCAATTGGGGTCACCTTATGAGAAAATTCTTAGCAAATTGTGATTTGAGTCCAAAGGACATTGGGCTTTCTTTTTCGACTCTCTGATTTTTGTAGTTCCACTTCCACACACGTTTTTTCTAATTTTCTAACGTCTGAGAAGGGAAGGTCAAAGTTAACTTTTTTTTAACTAACTTTTTTTTTAAGTAACTATGATTATCAAGTTTTTTTTTTTTTTTTTTTTTTTTGTGAGAAGGAAATTCTTATCCAAATTACACTCTTCAACATTCATATGATAATAGTATATAAACCTCAGTTGATGCTAATTTTTATAACAACGCAGCCAAAAACAAATTGACCTTTAAAAATAAATAAATAAATACTTAAAGCAGTGAATACTGAATAGCCAATAGAATCACCTGGTGATGAGGAGCTCTTATTAGATTAAACTTCACACTGGTGGGTCCCTGCTAAAAGTACTCCTTAACTAAGAGAGAAAGAGAGTAGTCAAGAGTGATATTGATGATAAACATGTATAATTCTTGTAAACTCTACTTTCGATTTGGCCAAAGAATTAGGAAAGTTTAATTTGTTTCGTAATTCTCACATGGAAAGAACTCGTAAAAGAGTAGAATTACAATTTACAGCTCAACTATGACTCCTTTCAGTGCCTTCCTCTTCCAATTAGGCTTCCAATTGGCCAAAGCATCACATGAATTTTTTTTTTTAAGCAATCTTGAGAAATACCTCTTAAAGATGCATAAATCTTAATTTTTACTTCTTATTTTTTATTAATATTATTTTTAGTTAAATAACTATATTAATAAAAAGGTACAAATCAATAGTAAAAATCCAACTTACGTATTTAAGTAACAAAAGTGTATTGAATTGATTAGCAAAAAACAAAAAACAAAAAAGGAGAATGGAGCAAATAACAAAATTGATGAATCAGTACAAAATGAGCAATTTTAATAAATATCCCTTAAAATTATATAGGTCAAAATTTTTACTATTTACTCTTGATTCATAATTTTTATAGTCAAATAATTATACTAATAAAAAAATAAAATATAAAAATATAAACTCATACACTTAAATAAATTTTTTATTTTTTCAAAGTGCGTGTGGTGTATTGATGAATCAGTTTGGGCTTATTGGCCCTTCAACAAAAGAGATAAGCCTCACAAGATTTTTACAATTACCTCTCAAAATGGATCACTAAACAATTATTAACCCTCAAATGTTAATCTTTTTTTTTCTATTCCTTTAGACTAAGACTAATAAAAGACCTAATATATAGATTACTAAAATACCCTCAAAAGTATTTACAAGATGTTGGCTCTTTTCGATCGCCAACTAGCAGCGGAGCTCTGGCTGCCGGCGACGAAACTCCGACAGTCGTCCTGGGTGTCTTCGACAGCCGGTAGCGAGGTCTCTGGTGACTAGAGGCAGAACTCCAGTAGTCGTCCAGCGTGTCTCTGGCGGCTCACCGACCATAGTCTGCCAGACTATGACCCATAGTCTGATAGGTTATGTCTGTCATGCTATGACTCATAGTCAGTCAGGTTACGACTCATGCCAAGCTATGACCCAGTCTTATAGGTTACACCTGTCGGCGGGCTTCCAATAGCCGGCACTGGACATAATTTGTCAGATTATGATCCATAGTCTGTCAAACTATGATTCATAATATGATCTATAATCTGTCAAACTATTAAGTGCCTTTAGGACAACACTGCATCAGTATTTCATTAATATGAAGAATTCCATTTTGGTCTGGTTGCGCCAAACATACTGGTGTTTGTTTTTGTTTAACCATTAGTGTAAGCATCATAAATACACACACAGAAAAAGACAATGTCCCATGACTTACAAATCAAAGACTTGATCGGCAAGAGTTCATTAATAGAATTTATGATTCCCTTGATGTTACCTTTAGCACTATATGAACAATCTCTTTTCCATTCGCTAGAAAAACGGAAATTCTATCAAGATCTCTTTTCAGTCTCTTAAATGCATAGTGCTAATAGTCTAGAAGATGATTCAAAAAAGAAAGAAAGAAAGGAAAAAATACGTAGTAGTAATAGATCTTAACATCAAGGGCTTTCTCTCTCATTAACATCAACACATATGGTACTCCGAAAAGGGCTTTCTCATATATTAACATCAACACTTATATTACTAATAGTCCGAGCATGCAAATTCACTTACAGATGATTCAAAAAAGAAAGAAACAAAGAAACGAAAAAACCGATGCACGAAAATTGAAGAATAACATAAACTAAGAAACAAAATTTTTTAAAAAATGGCAAATCAAACTAGACTTAGTTTGAATATGAAAAAAGATTTGACAAACCTGTAAATCTCAACTGAAACAAAAAGTATTATCTCGTATCAGACGGAGAATCATTAGACCAGTTCATAACAAATAGAAAATCACTAAACATGATATTTTTCACAAAGCTCTATCCGACGAAGAAAAGTGCACAAATAAAAAACTGTGCATTTGAATGTTACTAATAAGTCATATCTATGGATTTGAATGTTAACAAGAGCACAAACAAATATCAAAAAACAGATCATCAACACCAACTTTTTGTATTTACACATAAATGTCATTTAGAAACTACAACAAATTACCAAAAAAAAAAAAAACACTAAAAACAACAAAACTCAAATATCAATAGTGAAAACGATATTACCCATTTGGTAGAGGTTCAGGCTCTCAGGTATGCAAATTTTCCGACGATGTAGCTTCTTGCTGATAGAAAATTATTTATATTTATATATATATATATATATATATATACAATCTAAATGTTGATGGCCCGGGAACACTTATTACAACCAAAATCAATTGTACAACCAACCCTTTGCAGGTTGTGCAGCAGTTTGGAATTCCTCATCTGTTTGATCTTCCCATTAGACCAACTGTAACTCCCATCCCATGACAGGTTTCTTACCGGTTACTCACATTCATGTCATGAGAAATCTCTTTAATAATTCCTTTACATTGTTTTTGGGCTCGTTAATTTTTTTACAATTCTATAGTGTTGAATAATATGACATGTTGCTAGCCAGATTAAACCTAATTTGATCAACTTCACATATACAATTTTTGTTTTCTTTTTTAGCTATCTGCTTCTGGAGATAGTGGAATGCCTGAAGTGGTGGCTGATCCTCAAGGTGAAGTTGCGACGACATTTCAAGACCTTGGTGTATGCATTGTGCAGTAGTGTGCCAAGATTCGCCAACAAGGTATTCTTATTGTGCTCTGTGTTCTTCAGAAAAAAAAAGTGTTCCTTTAGAAATAGAATTGAAGGGCTACATTTTAAACACACACGTCATTTTTTAACCAACTCAAGTATAACCGGTGTGCAAAATTTCAAAAGGGCCCAAAGATTTTTACTAGAAATTTTTGGGAAAATAAATGTTACATGTAATGCAAGATTTTCACACTAAAATGAAGCATTGGGAAGCTTGTAATTTTGCTAAGATTCAGAATGAAGCTTGCAAACTCTTTTAAGCAATTTTTAGTGCTTTCTTTACTTATTTGAGACCGAATTATTAGTACATCACTTTTGATGACTAATTGAGAAATTTAACTTTCATTAATAGCATTCATTTTTTTTCCCATCTAAAACCAGAAAATTACAGCTGAGTGCAAAATCAGAACGAAATCCAAGCTCAAGAAAAGAGAAAAAATAAAAAATAAAAAAGCTTGGGAGATTCGTCTCGATGGCGTGGAGAGAGAGAGAGGCGCGCGGGGTAGGAGAGAGAGAGCGGCGCCTGAGTAGGGGAGAGAGTGAATCGGAGCAGGTGAGAGAGAGCGGCGAAGAGAGAAGGAGGCGCAGAGAGGGGAGAGAGAGACGTGAGATGAGAAGAGCAGATAGAAGAGAGAGAGAAATCTGGGAAGAAAAAGATGCTCCGGCGAGATTCGGCTATGCCCGGGCGAGTTTGGGCTGGGGCCGCCAGTCGCGAACGCAGAGAGAGGGGAGAGAAGAGGAAGAGGCGACAAATAGAGAGAGAAACGAGGTTGAGGAGAGAGAGAGGGAGGAGAGAGAATGAGATAGAAATAAATACCGTGTATATTTTACTGATATAAGTTTTTAATTTTAATTTTATTATAGTTAAAAATTCTCATAAAAATTCACATTTTGTGGACGTTTGGTTCATATATTTAGAATTATAATTCTGAATTATTTTCATTTTACGTGTATTTTTTATGAGAGAAAAATACTATAAAAAATTATGAATCATGATTTAAAATCATAAACAAATATAAAAAATATACATTTCTTTAATTTTTTATTATAATAAAAAATTTTCACATAAAATTACATCTTAATTTAAATTAATAAACTGAATAAAACCTCAAATAAATTAAGCTTTGGGGGGGTGTTTTTATCATTTAAAATAGAGTCAAAATGTTTGACTGAAGTTAAAAAGAGATAAGAGTTTTTTTAAAGGATATATAATTAATAAGCCTGTGACTTACGGTGGTAAATTATATAATTTACACTTCCTTAATTTTCTCCAATTTTCTGATCTCCATGACCCTCAAAATTGCGTTGCTCACTTTAAAAATAAAAATAAAAAATAAAAAAAAAATAAAAAATAAAAAATTTGCTTTGCTCATTCCACTTATGAAATCTAATTATTACTCGAATGTAAATTAAGTTTAAATTTTTTTTTCTAAAAACGGTATATTTCACTATCAACTTTCTAAAGATAGTATTCTTCTCTTAAACATTAGTGAAAGTCTAATTATTCACTTGTATCACTCATGTATAAATTAATGTTCTGTTCATTTTACCGATTTAAATTTAAAATTTAAATTTTATTATAGTAAAAAATTCTCAGAAACAGTCACATTTAACTTTTTTCCTACAGTAAAAGGTTCTCATATAAAGTCACATCTCAACTCGAATTAAAAATTTGAATCAGCGAACTAAACGGACTCTAAGTTCAAATCTTTTTGTGGACTATATTCAAATATTAATTCTCTAAAATTAATATTCCTCTAATTCACCCATGTTTATTGGGAGAAGTGGGCACATATCCTACTTGTTGGAGGAATAAAAAGAAATGGTCGTAGAAGAAATTAATAATCTAATTCACACCCAAACTTCCATAAATAACACCAAACCTCCTCTTCCTCCTCTTATCCCTGCGCATCCCTATATATCTTTAGTCCTCGCCATCACTCAAAGGCCCTTTTTCGTCACTCGCGATCTTCATGCTGATTTTGATATTTATCTTCTTTAGGAGCTCAGGTGGTATGATCAATTATTCTATTAAAGGAAAAATGTTTCCTTTATCCCTTATATTTTACCAATCATTTCAAAATCATCCCATCTTATCAAAATCAGTTCACTAATACCTAAAAAATTTTCTAAATTGTGAAAACACCCCCTTTGTCATTGTCACAGCGTTAATATAAGGTGATTTAAGAGCATCTCTAAGGAAATTCTCTATTTTTTAGTTAAATTCAAGATAAAATAGTTAGAAAGTTATTTTAACTATAAACTTTTTAGTGAGTCACTCAAATCATATTATTTATTTTAACTAAGCATAAATTATTTTAGCATTTATTAAATTTAATTATAAATAACTTTATTTAATTTAAAAAAGAGCCTTTGTATTTATTAGGTATGAAACAATAAAATAATACAAAAAACTAAATTCTAACTAAATTATTAACTATTTTAATTAAAAACATAAAATAATTAACAAGATTGGAGTTGCTCTATCAATAAGATTAAAATACCATATTGCAAACTACTAACACACACATGCAGAATAACTGCGCTCTTGTTATAGCTCAATGGAAAAAAAATCATCTAGGAATTACATTTCCTCTTTCTCATATACTTTTTTCCAGGAGTTTGGTGAAGATTCATGAAAATTGAAAACGCCTTCACGTTCTACAAGGCGAATTGATTGCTTACGATGAAGTTATTTTCCCTTTTGGAACCAAAAGGAAGATAAAAAGTAAATGCAGTAGTAGTTGGGAAAATCTGTATCTGGTACAGAGCTTTCATACTTTGCGGTTGATAACCTCGAGAAATCCAGTGGAACACTAGAAGTTCTTGTGTAGTTAGTTAGATGGACCTCTTTTTTGGTTCTTGCCCATTATAAATCATTTATCTTCACGTTCTACAAGGCGAATTGATTGCTTACGATGAAGTTATTTTCCCTTTTGGAACCAAAAGAAAGATAAAAAGTAAATGCAGTAGTAGTTGGGAAAATCTGTATCTGGTACAGAGCTTTCAACTTTGCGGTTGATAACCTCGAGAAATCCAGTGGAACACTAGAAGTTCTTGTGGTGTTAGTTAGATGGACCTCTTTTTTGGTTCTTGCCCATTATAAATCATTTAAAACGCAACTACCTTATCCCAATACTAAAGAAGCCAAGGATTGTCACTGATCTCTTGTTCAGTCTTATCCATATATATTTTACAGCATCTAAGTAGACGTTTGATTGATGGATTTAGAATTATGATTTAGAATCATTCTCAATTTATGTGTGTTTTTTATGAGAAAAAATACTGTAACAAATCACGAACCATAATTTGAATCGTGGCATGAATCTCATAACCAAACACTCTCAAGTTTTCACGTTAAATGAAGTACATTCTATACCTACGATGAATACATAATATTGGTTTATAATTAGAAAAACTGGAATGGGCTAATCCCCTTTTAGCTCTTAAAATTGGGGAATCGTACAAGCGTCAATTAATGAGATAACTTACAAGTCTCATTAGTAAAAAAAAATCCAAGAATTCTAACTATCAAGAAGTTAGGATATTTATTTGTATAGCTTATTTAAAAATAATATTTTATCGTTGATAATTATGAGGTCAAATTACATGAAATAAAATCAAGAAGGGTGCGAATTCCATCTTATATTGTAACTGCAGCCTTAAATAGTCCTCTTTTGGTTATTTCTTATCCTTAAAACTGTTTTCAATCTTAGATAAAAATTATTTTTAAAAATATGTTTGGTAGTTTATTAAGAGATTATTTTTAGTATAAAAAAATCCATTGTCTTTCTCTCTCTCTACTCAAGAGAGGAGAAAACGAAAACAAAAAATGAAAAATAACTAAAATTTATTTTTCATATCTCTCTCATTTTACACTAAACTAAAAAATTATTTTCATTTCTATTTTTTATTTTTAATTGTGTCAAATGTCGTTTCTCTCCCGTTTTCATTTTTTTCCTTGAAAAATGTAAAAAAATAAAAACAAAAACAACTCCAAACACAGCCAAAATGTACATCCCAACAGAAGAGACAAAAACTTGTTTTTCATGCATATGGTCTCTTAATCATGAACCTGAAATTAAGTGCCTTTGAACGCACGTAAAAGCATGTTCAAACCTTCAAGGCGTCATTAAAGAGCTACATATCCTCGATAATGGCAGTAATCAAAATCTACACTAAGCCCCTAATATTTTTAGGTGCTACAAACTAAGCTGTGCAGTTTTAGAGGCACTGATAATTAATATTAGCTAAGTAAAATACTTTAAATTAATTTATACACAAGTCCCCAAATCTAAGAATATTAAGGCGCGTTTGAAACTCGTTCTAAAATGATTTTATTTTTATATGAAAATGAAAATGAAAATATTTTTAATGTCAGACATAAATTATTTTTAAAAATGCGTTTAGTAGTTTTATCAAAATATTATTTTTAGTGTAAAAAACTCATTAATGTCTCTTTTTTTCTCTCTCTGCTCGAGAGAAGAGAAAATAAAAATAAAAAATAAAAAATTACTAAAAGTCATTTTTCATTTCTCTATCATTTCACACTAAATTAAAAAATTATTTTTATTTTCATTTTTTGTCTTTATTGCGTTAAACCTCATTTTCAAAACGCTTTCATTTTTATATTTTTGAAAAACGTAGAAAATAAAAATAGGATCAATTCCAAACACAGCCTTAATATTTCATATCTTTCTACTATCCATTGATTAGTTCCCCAATAAAACATTAAGTATTTTAAACCATATTAATCAAGAAGACCATAAATTTCATAAGAAAGTTCAAGAGATCCTTTTCACCTGTATATCCAAACTGATATATATCTATATATTAGCAAAAACAACATATTTCACAAGATAGCCAACAGAGAAAATATTAAAGAAAATAAGCAAGGATAAAAACAACTTCAAGTACAGGATCATACTTATTTAATTACACTTAAAAAAAAGAGAGAGGAAATTAAGTTATAATGAAACAAACTCTTGAGCTTCTTTAACAAAATAAAACTACATGACCATGAACAGAAAGCAAAAGTAAGCCATTAATTTTCATGACTTGATTTTCTTTGCGGAGATTGTACGGTCTTGATCACGTTGGTGGAGGGCTGACGTTAATACCTCTCTCGTTTTTGTTTGGGTGTGGTCCTTCATAATCCATAACTTCAATAATCTCTCTAGAATTACCACCAACTTCCTGGGTAATAAAAAATAAAAAAATAGAAAAAAAAGAAGAAGAAGAAAAATGACAAATTAAAAGAAAATGTTGAAATTAATTTGAAAGAGTAAGAACGTAAGGATTAAGGAATTAATATGATTGAGAACCAAACAAACCTTTACTTCGACAGAAGAATCTTCGTCTTGGATGGTACTCTTCAGGGTTCTCCCGAATCCTTAAAATTAATCAACAAGAAAAGTGATTGATCGTCAGATAAAACTAATCGAATCATAGAAAAGTAGAACTAGTGAAAAAAAAGAAAGAAAGAAAGAACTGAGACAAAATTAGTAACATATATATATATATATGTATAGTTGAGTACCATGAGAGAAAAGGAGGAACATAAAGAAGGAAACAAGAAGAGCAGTAGTGAGAAAACAAGGCCGACCCATGATTTCTTCTAGGCTTCTGCGAAATGGGTTGCTCTCAGAAGTCAGAATTCTGAAATGAAATATCGTCTCTGGTTTTATAGGATCTGGGAAGTATGTCTAATAAAAAAAAGTAGATTTTTAATAATGCGTAGGAAACCGCTTTTGAGTTTTCAGATCCAATGAAGCGCTTTTATAGCGCAATTAATGCAATATGTGCCGCAGAAGAAAGGTTTTTTTTTTTTTTATTTTAAACAATTTATATACATATATAAGGTTTATGTACTTTTATTCTTCTCTTAATTTTGATGTTCTTCTAATAATATTATTTTATACTTTAAAACGTCATGTAACATATTTTATTCTAATTACATTTTAATTCACATTGCATGTTTTTATTTTTTATAGCATTTTAATTGACAAAACATAATATTTTGAAATGACTTAAAGAAAAAGGAACATAGAGAAGGAGATATAGGAGTCGAAACAGTATCTAATCCCGAAAATTGTTGTTGGGATTGAAGCACTTTTGTTTTTTACCCCAGCTATATTAAACCTCCTGATCTGTGATGTCAATGGGAGAATCTAATAAGGATCTAAAATTAATTGTTCTTAGGTCCAATTCTGGGTGCTAATCTTTTTCTATGTTATTCTTTGTTGACCTTAATTTTTTTCCCTTTTTTTTCACTTCTTTTATAGTGCATCCTAAAATTGTGACCCACTAATAGAGCAAGCATATTTACTGTTAAATTAATTTTGAGTTTTTAGCTCATTTGCCTCTTAAACTTGTTGTAGTTTAGTAAATAACCCTTAAATTTTTAATTTTGGTAAGTTACTCCCTCAACTTGTAAAGTTGTTACAATATGCCTCATTTTGACGATGATTGTGTTAAATTAATATAAAAAAAGCACGTTCAGTCAAAAATTTCAACATTCAAATTCAAATGTAAAATAAATCATTCAATATCTCAAATTTTAATCCCTTAAATCTAATAAAATGTTTGAGCAAATTTCGTTAAATGAGGTACATTGCAATAAATTTATAAATTCAACAAGAACTTGCTAAAATTAAAAGTTTAGAGAGCTATGTGCTAAACCACGACAAGTTCGGTGGGGGAGAGACCAAAAACTCATTAATTTTACAATGGTTAGATCTGCAAGAGGAGCGCGCTATAAATTTCAAATACGGACATGCACATATATGATCATTAAAAATTTAATCTAAAAGCAAAAACACTTACTCTACCGGTGGATCATAAATAGAAGATGCACCGTAAAGAGTGCAGAAAGAATGATAACGGACCGACATAATGTAGTATATTAATCTCTCATTTGTTATTATTAATGCCGGCGTTTATCTTTTCTGTACTGGTGTTTTGCTACTTGTGTTTTTAATATCGACACAATCTAGTTTTGATTTGATACAAATTAAAAACGTACACTTGAATTAGTGAATTGGTCCAAGTCTTGTTCCTTTCATATTACAGACATATATTTTACAGGAAAAAAGTATTGTAGACATTTCTACAACTCTTTTGATCCATTTGTAGAAAAATATTAGGATAATTGATGAGGTATGATTAAAATACCTTACAATAAAAAAATACCTCACTATAATACAATTCTAAACCATTACACTACACAAAAAATATATGTATGTGTGTGTGTATAGATATATGTATTATAGTTCTTATTTAATATTTGTTTAGGATTTATGTGTGAGTCAACTTTTGAGTTGTTCGTTTCAAAAATAAAAACTTGTAAGTTACTAAAAATCCCTAAATGTTTTGACAGTCAACTTAACCACAATTAATGGACGCACGAATGCAATTCTTTTCGTGTTTTTTTTTTCCTTTTTCCAAATAATAATTATTTTCTTTTTTCGATAACATTGCTTAATGTATTACAAAAATATATATAATACACTTGTCATGATTGGTGTAGTGCTCATCCATAGTTGTGCTATTTTAAAGTCAATGTTTAACGAGAGAAAATGTCTGGTCAACTTGAGTTTTTAAAACTTCAATCAGTTTGGTTCTGATGCTTCTGAAGACATTTTTTATATATCACTATTAAATTTGTTATCTTATATTATATATATATATATAGTAGTCATGGTCTTTTTATATGTGAATATGCAAGTATGAACAATTATTATGATTTCATGTAAAACTTTTGCAAAGCAGTTTCCTATGTATTGCTTCTAGGAGAAGAAAATGCTATTGCCACAAATTTAAACAATACAAAACCAGAAATTAATGCTCAACATATTACCATATTTCTCTGTAAAAGTAGAATTCTTTTTAAAAAAAAATAAAAATAAAAATAGAACAGTGGTTCGAACTCAGACTTCAATATTAGAGGCAGAAATGTAGATTTACCGCTGGATAACATCTGGAGCCATCATAAAAACAGAGTTAAAAGGGAACAGAAACATCCATTTCGGGTTGGCTTCCTATTACCTTTTTGTAGCCAACTAGTAGTTCTATGATCACATACTTGAACAGAGTAAGGACCATACTAGAAACCAAATAAAAAAAAAATGTGTATTTGTATTTCTTAAAGAAGGATCACTCTTAAGTCTTAACTCATTCTTCATTGACAATCATTGCATGAAAGGCATATCACTTTTTTTTTTTTTTTTTGACACTAATATATAGAGGTTTTTAATTAAATTTAATCGGGAAAGTATTGAAATTTGAATCATTGGACCAAACTTGGGGACGTTTAGAAAGAGAATTCGTGTTATGATTCGAATCATGATTCGTGGTTCGCTACAGTATTTTCTCTCACAAAAAATACACGTAAAATGAGAATGATTTTGAATCATGATTCTAAATCCATGAACCAAACATCCTTAATTTTATATTAGTTCATTCTTATCAGTAATGCAACGGTGTGATTGCATGTGGGTTATGGGCATAATACTCAGTTTAATATTCATACGCGTTGAAGAAAGCCTGAAACTTGGAAATGAAAACCCAAGAATCCTATCCACGTGCGCGTCCCTAAATCTTTAACACCAATAAATAAAAGTTTCTTGTTAATTCCTTTTACCCTTTACTTTTATTTATTTATTTATTTTTGTTTAATGGGATTTTCCGCTTGTTTGGATCTTAACTTTGCTTAAACAAATGGGGTTAAGGATTCAGGCTCTGAAATACAAGGATTAATCTTGCATTTTCGGGAATTACAAAATAACCTCTCGCAGTGTCTCTTAAAAATTTTATGATAATGTATTTACACAAAATTTGAAGGGCATGTTCTTTTTTTCAAAAAACTCAAAAAAATACAACTCAAGTTTCAACTTTATTCAAGTTCACGTTCTTTCAAGTTTCAACTTTATTCAATTTTACTCAACTTTATTCAAGTTCTAACTTCAACTCAAGTTATAATTCAAATTCAACTTAAAAACTACACTTAAATTATATTTCAAAAGAACAACCCCTAAATATAATACATGCTCTCTCTCTAGTTTCTTTTTTGCTCATCATTTGTCCTATTTCCTGTGATGGGGGAGCACTTATTAGAAAGGGAACATGCATGGACAATTTTTCCTTTTGGCCAAATGATGTGTTTTTTGTAGCCTTCGCCACTGGCAAGAAGTACTCATGATTTATCTCATTCTTGTGGTGATAAACAAAGTTTTATATGTGGGCCATCCAACCAAATGTATGAAGATAAGAGGAAACTTGAGGAATTTTCTCTTCTTAAGAATAATTAATGGCAGAGTCATCTGGCATTGCCAACAGTTGGACTTTGACTCTTACCTTAATGACTTGGAAAGAATCATAGTTATATGTTATGAGTGGATAAATTGACATTTAAGTCCCTAATTCTAATGGTTATGTGCAAATTGTAAAGAGGGTAAGGACGTGTTTAGTTCGCTGATTTGAGTTTTTAATTTGGGTTGAGATGTGATTTTATATGAGAACTTTTTACTATAGTAAAAAAATTAAATATGACTGTTTCTGAGAGTTTTTAACTGAGGTAAAATTTGAATTTTAAATTTGAATTGGTGAAACAAACAGGGCCTAATTTTCAAAATTGCGGCCAAAGCCACTGAATATATATATGTATTGTATGTATATATGTATATATGCATGCACTAAAGCATAGTAACATGTTTAGTATAATTCCAGATAACAAGCAGGCATGAACTTTTGAATTTTGTGGGTTTCTTCTTAGAATTGCTCTTTGCTTGATCTCTTTAACTAAATAGAAGTAATCACTACTTTTCAAACACTCAAATTTCAAATATGACCATGGATGGTATTGCTTCAAACTAAAAATATAATCATCCAAAAGAAAAGTGGCAAAGAAAAGAAGAAAAGAAAAGGAGGTCATAATCCTTACAGTCTAATGACATATTGGAGTCATCTTCAACTTTGGGAAAGGCATATTCTAGGCTAAGTTCTTCTAATCAAGGAACAAGAATATAATTATATGTGGTTTTGGTGTACATATCTAGCTGGGATCATATTGCAAGTTACATTATCAAGTCCTTTTTGGCAGTGGGAAAACAACAGAACAGATGCCGAGGAGATAAAAGATATGGGGTGTTGCTATACTTGCCAGTGTGTGTACATATATACATATGTATATATGTGTGTATATATGAATGTATATATGCATCAGATTAAGATGTGAGTATAAAAGAACCACCGGACTGGGAGGTGAAATCTTGGCTGGTATATGTCTACTACGGATTTTTCTAAATTTGGATGTGTACCCTAAACTTGCAGAGTTCAAAATCATGAGAGGCTAGTACTAAAAGTAACTTTTGAAAAACTCAAGCGGTTAAATTTGGAGAAAAATATAATATAGTAGGTACAGATTTTCCTTTTGTGCGTTGTGCAAAAAGAGAGAGAGAGAGTCAAAAGGAAGAAAGGGAGCAAAGAGGTTTAATGGTATCACATGAATGGGGTCCCAAAAACAGCTCATGGCACACAAAAAGGTCGGCAGAGGTTGTCAATTATAGCAGAAAATATCCTGTGTTTTTACTGCTATAACGGTTAAAAGGACAGATACCATAAAAATTATGATGGCAGGCAAAATTTTACACCTTTGGTCTAGTACTACACTTGTTTATGGGTTAAAATTCTCAAATATGTTCTACATTTCATGTCTTAATGTCATTTCTAAGATGTCATTTTTTAAGTTGAATCTTTTTATTTGTTCCATTCACAGAATTTGGCTCCACTATAAGGGAATATGGATTCATGAAAGGAGGAGAAGATAAAGAGGAAAGGGAAAGCAAGCAACTAGAAATGAAGACAGGAAAACTTTATAATCAGTTTTTGCCTCTTGTGGTTGTAGTTGTTTGGATTCTTTGTCATAGAAAGGGAAAGAAGATGGACCTTTTTTGTGAACCAGTTTTTGCCACTTGCACATTACTTCATGCTGATCTCTGTGTATGATGTCATCTAATTTGGCTTGATTCTATTGGATCTGATCTGTGTTTCTTGTACATATTTTCATAACTGGACAAAGAAAAGAACAGAACTTTGATTCAACTTCTAGTATTGTTACAAATTTAATTTCCAATTCTTAAAACTACAAGTTCAGAGAAATTTTTGTGTCAACTGTAAAGGGTCAGAACAAAAAAAATGAAATACAACTGCAACCAATAACACAAAAAGGCTTTGTTTGAATCCCTATTATTTGAGTACATCTGGGGTTTGAGTACGCAAAACTCAAATCTCTTCTAGCTCTCACTATTACATATAAAAATATATACATGAATTCAGCAAACCAATCTAAGAAAAAAAAAAGAAAAAAAAAAAAAAAAAGGCGTTCTCTTTTGCTAGCACTCAGGTAGACGAAGAAAAAATTTCAGTGGCAAGTGGCAACTTAAGTTTAAACTAAGATGAAGCCTTCTCCTAAGAGGAACGAGAGGATAATCTTCCAACGCATGTTTTCAACGAGGCTAGATTTAACAAATGATTCTTGCTTGTGGGACTGTTGAATCCATACAATTCAGTTGCAGAGATCGTTTCTTCAACTTCTGTCCTACCGGTTGAGCGTCAAAGTTCTGTCAGCACTGCTATGAACCAACTGCCTCATAAGCTACTAAATTATGAGCTCTCTTGAAAGCTTAGTGACCTAGATAATGCAGCCGGATTTGCTTGCAAGACTTTTGAGTTTTCTGCTACGTGATTCCTTTCATCATCCTTTGTTCGGAAGGCCTTAAAGAGTCCTCCCCCACTAATCGAATCAGCTTTATCGTTTTTGATCCCCAGTGTTGCCCATATAGAGCTCCTAGCCGCTTCACCTGGGTCATCGATCCTCAATGTCTTTGGAATCCAAAGGCATCTCTCCGAATTGCTTTCTTTTGGTGGCTCTTCTTCAACAGAGGAGTTGGGTTTTAGTGGATTTTCATCCCTCGAGTGTTTTCCCAATGTCGGAGAGTTTGGACCGGAACTTGGGGCAGTGACATTTGGAGATGATGGCTGGGGAATCCAAGGGATGTTCCAAGTGCCTGGTACACTACAACCCCAATAAGCCGCTGCAGGGTAGAATGGCATCGGAAATCCAGGAGGGCAGAAAGCAGGAAGTGGCACTGGAGGGCTCCACTGAGCAGAATTCCAGGGGTAAGGCCAAGGAGCGCCAGGAAAGCATGGCATTTGAGGTGGGAAGCTCTGGCAATTTTGTATGACTTGCTCTTGTGAGCCATATTTGCTGGTCTCATCCTTCGAATTTGATGTTGTAATTGAAGATCCATTGGCACTATTATCTCCATATTCTCCACCTCCATAAGAAACAGGAATCCTTAATTCTTCGGGTTTATGAAATCCATTTTGTGTGCAATTATGCATTGTTTTATCAGCAAGATTCAGCACAGAAGCCATTGATTCACAGAGGGGTGCGTCTGAGCCAAATGTTAGGACGGTGCCATTAGATTTTAGTGAAGGATGGTGAGCATGAACAGCAGTTGGAACATCACTTCGGGCATTCTGAAGAGCTTCTGAAACATTTATGTGACGGTAGTGAGAAGCTGAGTTCTTGTTCTTGCGACGTCCAGCTCCCACGGGGACATTCCTCATGGTTCCGCCAGCTGTCCAATATCTTTGGCAGTTCTTGCAGAAGTGTCGGGGTTGGTTAACATTGTAATTGTTGTAGTAACAGAACTTGGTGTCCATGCTATTACAGCGTGGGCATGGAAGTATCTTGTCTGGTTTCTTCAGGGTCTTTTCCTGCAAATTACTTGCCTCGCTGGTCTTCTCTTGCGAATTACTTGTCTCACTCTGTTCTTCTTCAGTCTTTGAAGCTTTCGGTGTACCACTCTCCTTCTCAACAGAAGGTGTTTTAGGGTTCTCGGAAACTCCAGAAGTTGCATCTGAATTCCTTTGCTCTTCTGAAGACACTGGTTGTGCTCCATCTACTTCTTTAGTATCAGAAGGCTTTTCTCCGGTGGTTTCCTGAATACACAGAAATATTCACTAAGAATGGTTTCAAGACTGTATCTTCAAAATAATCTCTCCAGAAAAATTTTAATAAGATGTCAAGAATAAAAAGCAAAGTGAAAATGACTTGGTTCATATTCAACTTCATGCTTTGATTTGCCGTAAACTAAATCCACAAATCACACCAGTTATCGTGACGAATCAACAAAAACCAGACTAGTAAGAAAATCAGATTACTTTCTTATGTAGAAAGAGCTAATGTTCATGCAAGTCAACGGCAAAGAAAAGGATGCTGCAGCGATAGCTCGCCTCCCCTTAGCACTTATTTTGCAATTGTTTATCTTTTATCTCATTTCTTTTTACTCTGTACTATTTGGAACAATCGATTTCACTGTGATCTATCCCCGAACAGCGCCATATCACTAAATTTGAGATAGATGACATTCAAAAAACGATAAAGATATCAAGTAGTCCTTAATCCTAAGTTTCTAACTCTGATTAATCATAAGTTCTTAACTCTCATCCTGGAACAGGTTAAGATTGTACTGCTTCTCAAAAAATCAGAAACATATATCATCGAATCACGTCTACAACCACATAACCCAATCAAAATAGTTGAAGACAAGTAGAATCACTGAACACTTCCACAGCCTAAAATACTACAGATGATTTTGATCCCACTATATCAACATCGGAGACAAGACCCAAGGATTTCAGTTTCGAACAACATTCCCTCAAAAGTTGACAAAATAACTCACAAGAATCTGTATATCATTAAAGCACTATCAACAAAACGAAGGTTTGTAGTTTCAGGAATAACATATGCCAAGAATGTGATGAGAAAAGAAATTCATGGGATTCAGGGAAACAAACTAAAAAAGAGTACTGAGAAACACAAAAGAAACCAATATCCCAAAACAGCAAAATTCCAAGTATTGTTAAGCAATAAATGGCAAAAATACTTGCTTTGATAAGAAATTTCAAGTATTGTCACATATGGATAGAACCCAGAAATCTCCAAATTAATCAAAAACTGTAACCAAACTAGCTCAGCCAAATTAACCCTTTTCAAGAAAAGCTCTTTCTCAAAAAGCGAAAAAAAAAAAAAAAAACCATCTAATAGCTCAGGAGAAATAAATCAAAAGCTGGCAAATATCCCACAAAAGGACATAAAAAACTAACTTTCCATCTTAAGATTACAACCAAAATCCCATAAAAGAAACTCGAAATTCAAAACCAAATCCCAACCTCCCAAAAAAAAGTCAACAAAAAAAATGATACCTTCTTATCATTATCGCCGTCTTGCTCTTCTTCTCCGTCCTTGACGGTATTGCCCTCCACAAAAGAAGAATTCGCGACAGAATTAGCTCGCTTCTGATCCATATCCATAATATTATCATCATTAATGTTAGTATTTTTAATAATGACATAATCCTCCTCCTCAACCTCATCAGCAGCAGTACTAGAAGAAGCTTCTGGAGAGCCGCCGCCGCAGCAGAGGACCGGAACTTCCGCCACCGGAATCGTCTTTCCGAAGAGCTTGATCGCCGGGTCTTTCGCGTCCGACATTTCCGCTCCGTTTTGCTTTCGCTTTTTTTTTTTCCCTTTGCAGACAAACACAGAATTTGAAAAGCGATAGAATTCCAGAGAAAAAAGTTAGAGAGAGAAAGAGAAGGAGAGAGAGAGAGATCTGACACGTTGTTGTTGTTGTGTGTGCTTCAGCACAAAAGTGAGTGTCGTCGTTCGTCGTTGGTTTGTTAATCCGTCTAAGCAGGTTGGGGGTGCCACGTCAGCACAGTGGGGAGAATTCTCAGCCACAAGTTCTCTTTGTGGCCTGGATCTCTCTATCCTTTTCCCTTTTTAATTCTCTCTTTTCTTTTGCCTTTTTATTTAGGTCCGTTAATTTTAAAAGATAATTTAAAATTATTTTTAATTTATATATGTTTTTTATGAGAAAAAATATTATAACGAGTCACGAATTATGTTTTAAATTATAGCACGGATCCTTATTTTAAAAGTACTCTTATTAATTTAAATTTTATTATAATAAAAAAATTTCAATATTTACATAAAATTACATCTAAATTCAAATTAAAAATTTAAATAACTAACGGCCTTTAAGGGCTGTTCTTTTACTGTTTTTGAGTTAGGTGACTTAGTATAGATTTTGCGTTGAGTTTGAGTTATAACTTGAATTGAAGTTGTAACTTAAGTTTGTGTTTGGTTGTGTATATTTGAGTTATGGTTTGAGATAAGAATTTTTTTGAGTTTGTGTTTGAGTGAGTCAAAACTTGAATTTGTATTTAGATAGTATTTTAATAAAAACTCAATGCTGATGAAAATTTTAATAAAGTATATGGGGGGGGTTTTATTCGTCTTTTCGTTGTTAACGCATAGAAAAAAAATCATCTCAATCAGAATTAAAACGAAAAAGTCATAGTATTTTTAAGAATAAAAAAATACTATTCATTAATTTGAGTTTAAGTTTATAAACTCGAGTTTAAGGAAAAATTTAAATTCGAGTTTTAATCTCAAACTTAAATTCAAACTTAAAAAAATATGAATTTAAATAAAATTATAATTAAAAAATTTTTTTTTTTAAATTTTTGACTAAAAAAAGCTGCCGAACACCTCATAGTTTCTCTTTAATTTTTTGGATCCCATCCTTCTCTCTGTCCTATACTCAGCTTTTTCTTTTCTATTTTTTTGCCTTTTTTTGCCTTTTTTGGCCTTTTTTTTTCTCAGACATCGTCAATTCCTCGGCTGCTTGCCTAACCTAATATTCCACTTTTGAAATTAAAAAAAGTAATAATTAATTTTTAGTTTTTGTGGATGAGAACGAAATGTGGCCCATTTGTTTTACTTTGTGACTTTTGTGTTGCTTTCAAATCTTTTTTTTTTTTGCACTGTAGATGTGGAATTGCCATTATCTGGTTCCCATTGACGATTGCCCAATTTTAAAGTTACCTTCTTTTTCAATAGTTGTTTGAGAGTTTTTTTTTTAAATTTATCTTTATCGATAGTTAAATTTAATTAAAATTATATTAAAGTAAAAAAATATTAAATTTTAATATAAATTTAATAACTAAAAAATAAGGTCTCATTTATTTTATCATTTTGAGTTTAAAATTCAAGTTTTGTTACAGTAAAAAGCTCTTAGAAACAGTCACATTTAATTTTTTTGTTACAGTAAAAAATTCTCACATAAAGTCACATCTTAATTCGAATTAGTAAACTAAATGAGTCCTAAGAGACTACATATAGTCATTTTTACATTGATTATGAGAGAAAGTCCCTATTATTTTCTAAATTATTTGTTGTAGAAAAATCTGTGTTTTGTTACCTTGTTAAATATTTTTCTTTTATGAAAGGGCTCTTTTTTTTTTCCTCTGTCTCATTTTGTGTAGCCTCACATTTAATACACCCCACATTTCTATTTTAATTTTAATATTAATTACTTGACGAGACTGCTATAAAAATTTATAAAAAAAGTTTACATTACTTATCTTGAATTTATGATGGTAGTTATATGATTGACAAGACAACTCGATTTATCATCTATACTTTTTATGATGAGGGGAAAAAACGTATCCTTTATAGTTTATCAAAGGAAAATAGTAGAAAATAGGTTAATATAAAAAAATTTAAAAAATATATAGATTAATTTTTAGTTATAGAAATTAATAAGTCATAATTTGTTAAGTTATGGTTCATAATCAGATAAATTATGAATAAAATTATTAAGTTATTATTCATAACCAGATAAGTTATGGACAATTATAGACAATAACTTATCAAGTTATGGTTCATAACCAGACAAATTATGAATAAAAATAGTAATTTAGCCTATTTATTAACTTATGTAAACTATTAATTTATTAATTTTAATTCATCTCAAATCTTAACATATTTCTCTCTTTCCCCCTTATCCAAAATCCAGGAAATGTCCTTAAAAAAATAAAATAAAATAGCCCATTTGCATTATCAAAACGGTCCCCATTTTTTTTCGAGTAATTCATCAATTTAGGCGGATAAACCCAAGGTCAGAATAGGTAATTAAGCCCTTAGAAATCTACGTCAGCATCTCGTCCAAAAAACATAGCACGTGGGATAGGGCCACCAAGATAGCACGTGTGCGACCTGGAATGAGTAGCCCAACATGTGCCATGTCAGCACCATATTTTAAGTTAAGTAGGCCCCGCCCACGAGAAAAAGTAAAGTGAAAAGGTTACCTTTTTTGAATATAGTGAAAAAGTCACCTTAAGCACATCAGCGCCACGATTTTTTCAATTTCTTTTATATTTAATGAGAATTGGGAGTAATTACGTAAATATGCTTTTTAGTTTCTTTTTTTTTTTAAATTCATCAAAACTCCTTAAACTTTCTTTTATTTTTATAATTAATTAGTCTCTGTATTAAAAATTATACCAACTTAAATCTTAAATTCTTTGAATGTCTCAAATTTAATTTCTCGAACTATATTCCATCAAATATTAGATGGAAAAAGCTAATATATTTGTAGTTTTTTTTTTAATGGTACATTGGTAATGTATTAATAGTTAAGTTATAATTAATTAGACCTCGTTCATTTCACATATTCATATTTTCAATTTGAGTTGAGATGTGATATTTTCTTAGAGCTTTTAACTGTAGCAGAAAGAGTTAGATGTGACATTTTTAAGTACTTTTAACTATAAAAACCTAAAATTAAAAACTCGAATCGATGCAATGAATGAAATCTTAGTAAATACCCTTTTCTCACCATTTATTCTAAAAAGGTACATTAAAAGTCCATCAATTCATAAATAAACTTCATACATCTGAATTCATTAATAATAAACAAAACTAAATGAATCTGTCCAATATTTTTTTTCCCTGAAAAACAAAAAGATTTATTTCTGGCAAAAAAAAATCCCAACTTTCCCCCAATATATTTCGTTTTAACTCATATGTATTATAAGTATATATATTTACAATATGTATAGATAATGCATGTATAAAGATATTATATGTTTATATGTACATGGTAAATTTTTGAACGTGTTAATGTGTATTGATTTAAGAAAATCATATTTGATATCTTAAAAACAATGGGATTTTAAGCAAATAAAATACTTCTATGGAACATAATTTTATCAAACTAAATTATTCACGTTATTCCTTTTCCAACACCAAACAAGGGAATAAGCAGGAAAGAGAGATCATAATTGAGAAGGAATTGAGGTGTAATTTAGACAGGTTGTTTTGTTTTTTGTTTTTTTAAATGAATTGGACTTTTATTGTACCTTTTTGCAATTAATGGTAGGAAATAGTATTTACTTATTTGTTTATGACTTAACTACCAATATATTAACTTTTCAATCCAAAATTTAACATAAAATATTAATTGAGGGATTAAATTTAAGACATTCAAAGAATTCAAGTTTAAGTTAATATAATTTTTAGTACAGAGACTAATTGTAGAAAGAGAAAAAAGTTTAGGGACTTATGATGAATTTAACTTTTTATTTTTATCAATTTATACTCTGGTCTTTAAAAATCATTTAAAATATAAAAAAAGTTATGAGAAAATTGTTGAACTTATCTTTAAAAGTGTACGGGCCTGAATTTTTTAACCCTTACTCTTAATTAGTACCATTTTGTAAATATAGTTATATAAAAATTAAAATTTATACACTTTTAATGAGTATTTGTCAAAATTTCTCATTATATTTTCATTCCATCACTCTGTACGAAATAAAAACTGAGAAAGTGATTAGAAGTAATTAGGAGTTGGCTGTGCATGACTATTGTGAAGATATTTACTGGTGATGAAAAACTGAAAGGTGTAATGCAATGGAAAAGTATATGAGAAAAATGAAATTCACAACGGAAACTTTCTAACCATGCATTTGTTATATAGGACATTATTTTCTCTCACAAAATTTAATTTTCTGCTTAAATTCATGAATCAAACGGGTCGAAAAACTGTTCTTGTGGAATACCGGAACTTAAAGACATCAATGTCTCGCTGATTCTATTAAGAGTGCCGAGAACAATTTGAATAAATTAAAATTGAATATATTATGACCTTGTTCATTTCACCGATTCGAGTTTTACTATAGTAAAAAGCTCTCAGAAACAGTCATATTTAATTTTTTTACTACAGTAAAAAGCTCTCACATAAAATCACATCTCAACTCGAATCAACGAAGTAAACGGACCCATATGAATAAACTATAACGTGTTCTTATATTGATATAAATTTACATATACATAAAACATATACTCAGCTCCACGCTTCAGAACCAATAAAAGAAGATTACTGCCTCGTTCATTTCACCAATTCGAGTTTTCAGTTTTAAGTTTCTACAGTTAAAAGCTCTCAGAAAATGTCACATCTAACTTTTTTTTGTTACAGTGAAAAACTCTCAGAAAATGTCACATCTTACCCCTAATATGCTTTGTTGGTGAATTCTTCATTTGCGTACATGCATTTGGAATTCCTCGTACTTCAGGCAAGAAGGCTTACGAATCTATCAACTCACATTTTCGGACATCTCTTTTAGTTTACATCAATATTTTATTTCGAAAAAAAGTAATAAACATTGGATTCTGTATGATACGTTAAAATCTTAATTTGTTTAAAAAAAGGTGGTACAAAAGAAACATATCCTGTAAATAAAATTTGGGAGATCTTTTTCCCTCATTTTATATCAACAGCATCAAAGGGGAAAGCCTCCTCACAATTAGGGTGACACTTCCTTATACCACACAACTTGAAAACGACACGTAAAAAGTAATTTTATATGATACGTTAACATATGAGCTTCAAGTCAACACGGTTAATTCAAAAGTGACGACACACTTAAATATATGTGTTTGTTATGGAATTTGAAAAATTAAATATTTTTGACTTAGCTCTAATTAGTTGTGAATTTATGTTAGCTTTAAAAAAAATGGATCAATCTTTACTAATTAGGTTAATTAGGTCTTAAATGGGTCATTTGTGTTAAAATGTCACGACTCATTTATTAAATGCGTTCACGTGTCATGCCATGTTACTCGTATAAAAAAAACATATCATGTTTGGTTTTAAGTTACATGTTTATTAATCGTGTCGTGTTCGTATCAAGGCCTGATCGCGTCCTGTCAAATTTGTGTTGATGCGAACACAACCCACAGACACCAGTTCCCCCCCCCTACGGCAGCTTCCACTCTCACATCTGCATACTACGGTCTACACGAATGTCGTCAGAGACAACAATCACTCAACGTCAAACCCCTTCTCTTGAAGCTCTGAAACTACCTCATTCCTCATTCTCAGCCAGAGTTTCAGAGCTTCCTGCTGCAACTTCTTGTCTTGCAGCTCCTGGTGATAGTTATAAGCATCTTTATCCAACTCAGGAATCCCTTTGGGGCCAATCGCTGTGCCGATCATGCCGCCCTTGCCAATGAACTCTTCCATGGCTTCTTTGTCTCCCGGGTATGGAAATTCTCTTCGCTCATACAAATGTGCCAACTCTTTCTCTTCCTTGGGCTTAGGCTTTAGTGTCCACCAACCGAGTGGCGATGTCTCGTTGTACCACCAACAAGCACCGATAAGCACGTAAGCAGATAGTAGACCCTTCCCAATTTGTTTCCAGAACGGGTAGTCTCTTTTGCCAAGTCCTACTCTTGACAAGTATTTGTCGTAATCCATGGACTTGAGCAATTCAAACCCTGAGATTGTATTTAATAACATTAAAAACAAAAGACTTGATGATGAATGAAACGTTCAGAAAAAGTCTTGGCGGGAAAGTCCCGCAAGTTTCAAGAGAAACATGAAACACAAGCATTTCATCGAACATATGGGATGCAATGCATTGAAATGAGGTTTTTTCAAAGACAGACATGGTTTTGTTTTACAGTAATTACTATTAAGAGATCATGGACTTTACCCGTTTTGGCTGGTTGGTAGCGCTTTCGGACCATCTTGATCTGATACGATCAGGTTGATTCGGTTCCACCAGAATAGGGGAATACGACCTAAAACTGGAAAATGACAATGGAAATGAAGCATTCATCTTTAATTTTAAAAAACAAAATTCTTTCAAAACATGTTTTTGTTTCGACACATCTGATATTTTGTTTCTCCACCCAAGAACTCTAACCAAACAACCAACACAACCAACTATTTCAATACAACTACAAACGCATGTCAGAAGAAATGAGCGAGTGCCCATGAGACATTTAACAGCTCATAATCGAAATTTATTTATCCTTAAGAAATCAAATATCAAAACTCGTTAAGTCATGAAATCAAAGTGTTAATGAGTTTGCTCAACCAGAATACAAAGTACAAATCTTGATTCTAGTTCTATCACTTTCCCACTTATTAAGGCTCTTCTCCTCCCCACTTGCAGCCTATCATTATATATCAAGATTCCAAATTCAGAATCAACAAGACAATTATATTAACATGAAATCAATACATAATTATAGTAATTTTCATTGAAAATAAAGAAAAAGCGAGAGGTAGAGCTTAAAAAAAAAAGAAAAAAAAAAGTATTATACCGATTTCAAACAGAACCCAAGGTTGGGGGTAAAGAATTGGAGAGAAAGCATGAGAATGAGCTTCTTAGCAACCGGAAGAATTGACCTCTCAGACCTGGGAATAAGGTTTTCTTAACAAGCGCAATTGCACCACACAGTATTGATAACAAATGCAATTAGGCAACGTAAAGAAACTATAAGCAATGTAAGAATGCAAAAAGAAAACATACATTTGCAGACATAAAAGCGTATTATTTTACTTATCTTTGAGGAAAATGCAAAGGTGGCTAGTAGGGCACATTGTTGTGCCTCATCAAATATCAATTAACACGTTTTATTAGCCGTTTGATTAAATTTTAATGGTGTGATATATGATGTCTAACTGTAAATAATACCCAGCACGATATAAAAGTACTCTTACTCATAAATCAGACCGTTAAAACTAATATAACCACTATAAAAACTTGTTCTATCATTAGGGCAATACAACGTGTCTTAGTTAACAATTTTCTATCTTAAAAGCATGTTTATGAAGACTTGCATGACCTATGAAGTTCTTAAATAAAGGAATACGATCATTACAATTACATTATACAATACTACTATAGGAGGTTGAAGATGTTGATGTTATTGGAGGCAAGTACAACAAAGGTTCATCATCGTTGAAAGTTCATAAAATGACCGTGTCGACAAAAGCACCTCGATTACGAAACTGTATAACAAATTTTTAGGTTTGTAATTTTTATGTTTTGCTAGAATGTGTACTTCATTCAAACATGACTACTTACCACCATAGCAAAGAATAGTGTCAATTTTTTCAAAAAGAAAAAAAAAATCCCAATTTATTTTCTCCTGTTTTCCTTCTGTCTTATCAAACACATATAAAAATTCAAAGTTTGGTGTGTGTCATTTTGGGCAACCAAATATGTGAGAGATGATTTCACTTAATACTATTGATAAATCTGACAGTAAAATAAGAAAGAATAAAAATAAAGATAAAATGGATATATATATATATATATATATTTTACATGAAAAATCCTTAAAAGAGAAGGGGTAAAATCACGGGATAAGAATATAAAAATTTCACTATGAAAAATATGGATTACAACATTCTCTCCACTCTCTCATGTAAATAGGAGAAATATCTCACAAAAAAAGAAAAAATTAAAAAAATTAAATTTGTCTCACACACTACGAGAATTCTCTTTGAAGAGTGAGAATGAGATGTTTAATCCCTTTCTCTAAATTCCCTTATATAACTTTTAAGAATGAACTGTGACCACGAAATACTTGTGGTTAAGAATTAGTTAGGTCCCGTTTATTTTACTCATTCAAGTTTAGAATATAAAACAGTTATATTTAATTTTTTTATTACAGTAAAAAATTCTCATATAAAATTATATTTTAATTCTAATTAATAAACTAAAGGAGCTCTTAATTTGTGGCCATTCATTTTACGTCACCGTTTAGTCACTTAACTAAATTTAATCCACACAATTTTGTGACTTGAATCATGGGTATTGAGTTTTGCTAATTTTGAGCTTTTTTAAGTCTAAACCTAATCCAATAAATACGAGACAAATCTACAAACCAGAACTACGATCCCATCACCATCAGAAAACAAACAGGAAAATGTGTGTGAGAGAGAGAGAGAAATTTAGGTGAGAGAGACACAAACCTGTTGCAAAGGAAGAAAAAAGAAAAGCACGCTGCACCGAGGAAATCAGTGCTGAAACCAGAGTCTGATGATGACTGGCCTCCCAAGATATTTGAGTTCTACAACTTGAAAGAAAAGCGTATTAGAGATGAGACAATGAGAGATAGAGAGAAGAGGGATGGTTTCTTTAAAAAAAACAAAAAAAAACAAAAAAAAAACAAAAAATCTATTTCTTTACGACAATGAAAGATCTTTTTATCTATATATATTTATGCACTTCAGTCTTGTGTACCTTTTACCACTCGTTATTTATTAGTTCTCTTTATTTACGTTAAAATAAAAACGGTTTAATTTGTATTTTTATATATTTTATAATTTGTATTTATTTGTTACCTACTCATTTTATTTGCTCAGAGTTTAAAAAAAAATTAGTTCAATCTTTACTTTCATTCATGTCCTTCATATTTTATACAATGTATGTCTTTTTGTTCTTTGCAGTTTTTTATGTGTTTACATTTATGTCCTTTATTTTTTGTACTTTTTACCTACATGTTATATATCGTTTTCTCTTATTAAAGGCTTTTTCAAATTAAATAACATTTGCATTACATTCTGAAGGTGGCTTCCAAACTCACATAAATCGTCCCAATAAAATAAGTGATACTATCTATATGTTAAAAAATATAATATTACGTGAGATATTGTCAATGTATTTACTGTTTTCTATTACTTAAAATTAAAAGAAAAAAGTGGTTTAAAATGTCATCTCTATCCGCATAAGGATGACATTTTCTTCCCATACGATGACTCGCTCCAAACAAGACGTAAACGGGATTGCTAATATGATTTGGTTGGGATGGGGATAGATAAAATATTTTGTCTTCCAGTCGGGTCGAGGTGGGGATGGGAGATTGATTGGTTTTTGACAACAATTTTAAAAAAGCAAGATTTTTTCGGTATGCCTGACGTATCGATAGGTCAAGTTTTTTTAATTGTTAAATTTACATTTTTTTTTATTTTTACGTGATTTTATACAGATTTAACGGTTATAAAAATATGATCTATCGGTACGCCAGACGTACCAGAGAGTCACTCTTAAAAAAATTATACTTCTTAAAAGCGTGTCTCCACTTTAATAATTCCGAGTGAAAAGGTTGAAAAAATTGACTCAAGACCTTCCCTCTCCCCATTTATTAATTAATTGGCCTACACACCCTAATAATTAGTTAGTCCAGTTTAATATTGTAGATGGTGAAATCTACAATTAAATTTGTTAGAGGCCAATGGTTGAATTCGGATGATTAAAGTGTTAGTATCGTGATGACATAAAAAATAAATTGACAGGAAAAACAAAGAGAGCATTGGACTATGAATATTGGTTCCCGTAATTATTTAGGGTATGTCTACTATGGAGTGTTTGGATATTTCACTATGAATATTGATGAAGAATACAATGGTGATCTTCATAAATGTTAGGAGAAAACTGTAGAGAATACTGAAAAGCACGTAAAAAGTGGTGGAAAAGCTACGAAGAATGCTTGAGAATGGTGTAGGCGTGCTCTAGGGTGTGACCATGTGTCTCTCTCATTCCTTGGACGTGTATTCCTCCATTTATAGGCCTTGATTGTTGAATTAATGATTTAAGGTAAGATTTTCATTTGACTTTTGATTGGAAATCTTTTCCTTATAGAGAAATTGCTTAGGGAGCAAGTTTAGGTGAAGATTGGCTTTTCCTTTTACTATTTGAGGCAAGATTTCATGGAATATGACTACTGTAATGGTGGAATTAATGTTAAAATTCAGATGCTGAGCTGGAAACCTTGCAGTTAGACTTGTCGTTCGGGTAGTGAACTATTGGACTGATCGTTCAGATAGTCGATCCTGCTGACGATTAACAAATTGTTTTCAACAGCCAATTTCATAATTCAATTGAGGAAGCTCCAAGGACTTTTCAAAGTGTTTGCAATTTACATCATATAATCATATAAAATTAAAGGGGGTTCCTTACGCAACGTGGAGGGTTGAGAAGTTTCATTGGAAAGAGCTTTTAGGTAAAATCAATACATAATGGGTTTAACCGCAAATAAAAAAAACTTGGAAAGATAAAAGAAAGTGACTTCCAAGTTCCACCCATAATCACTTTCCATTCTCAATTTCATTTTTCTTTTTGAACAAAAAGAACGGGAAAGAAAAAGAAAAGCAATTCTTACAGAGTGAATGAAATGAAGTGGTACGTAACCACTTTCCTTCCAAGTGTAATTTCATCCCCACTAGTCTAACTCAGAATGGATGTTGTCATGATTGAGCCATAGGAAACTTCTCTCATAATTGTGTTTGCGTGTGTATGTGGTTTTTTTATTTTTTTTATTTTTTTATTTTTTATTTTTATTTTTTAACTCTGTCCTTGATCACATTTTGACAAACGGCTACAATAAGCCAGATCATAGTCCCAAATCAATTTTCCAGATTGTAAGAAAAACAATTTATACGAAGTTATGAGAATTCTAGGCAAAGAACAAAAAAAAAAAAAAAAAAAAAAAAAAAAAACCATCAAGAGAAATTTTTTTTTAGAAAAAAGGTAATTACCAGCACCTTATTTATTTGCGACAAGACTAACAGGAAGAACTAAGTTGATGAAACTGAATAAAATATTCCACGTGCTAGAATACCAATTAGGCTAATTAATGAGTTCTTTTTTTTGTGTGTGTGAAAAAGAAAACCTAATTAATGAGTTTAATCTATATGAGAACTATTTGGTTCTTTCTATAGTGGTAATTTCAAGTCTACAATGATCCTGGCAAAGATGATGGAGTAGAAACTTTTTTTTCCATGTTGAGTGGTTGACTAATGTAATGACTTTTGAGAATGTGAAGCCTCAGCAAGAAGACTTCTGGTATGGTAGTATGGCCTTGCTTAATGTGTGATTGAATAATGTGCTACCACCTTTCTTTATGCTTATGATAGTTGAAGTTTTGGCATTTTCATTTGACCGATTTTCCTTTAGCCAAATCGGCCAAACCTGCCCATCAATTATGTTGGGATATTTTTTTTGGTCAAATTTTTGGCCGTTTGTTTTTCTTTTATTATAGACAAATTAGTTTGGCATAAAACAATGTTTGGTCCAAGCAAAATATCTTATATGAATTTAATTGTTGCATTTCATCCCTTAAAGAAATTGTTCATTTTGAGATGAATGAGGACGATATATATATATATATATATGTGTGTGTGTGTGTGTGTGTGTGTGTGTTAAAAAAAGAGATTTTTTAGTATGCCTAACATATTAGTAGATTATATTTTTTTAACTGTTAGATATGCGTACTTTTTTATTTTTATGTGATTTTATACAGAACTGACAGATAAAAAACTTGACCTACCATTATGTTGGCGTATCAGAGAAGATCCCTTAAAAAAAAACTTGAATTCAATCTATAAAAGAGGTGTTAACGTTTCAAATTGCATTTTTTAAGGAAAGTGTTACAAAGCATTAGACCGATCACATGCCGTTATAGTTACATAACAATAAACTATTTTTTACATATGATAACTCGTTCAAAATCATCCCACAACAATATTATTTTTATCATCCCTCCAAAAAAAAAAAATTTTTACCAAACTAACCATTATAAATGTAACATTCCCTAAAAAAAATATAACGAAGTAAAGTATCATAGCTTGCATGCGTTACCAACCACAGCATTTGATTAATGTCATAATTTCCTTTCCTCATACTATTGACAAATTAGTCTCATCTAAAATAATCTTCCCCTTTTACATGAAAAAAAGTAACTCGCTTGATAAAAAAAGCATCTCAAGTGGCGCTGCTATAATTCTCACAGGATTAGGGCTCAAAATTGTTAGTATACCTACACATCCAAGCTATAAAGCTATAGTATATTTGTACAAGTAATACTGCTTATAAATTGATCTTGTTATATTAAACCACTCTTTTTTTTTTTCAAAAGAAAAATATATATCAAACGAGTATAGTAACAGCCGATAATTCTTTGATCAGCAAAAAAAAAAAAAAAAAAAAAAAAAAACCTATGCATCAAAATTTGATTGAAAACTAACTTCAGGGAAAAAAGGGGTAGGGCAAATATTATTATTAGAAATATCAGGTTATTTACTAATTTTTTAGTACCAAATAACACAATAAATAAGTTATTAAAATTTGATAATATTTTTATAAATAAATAAAGAATGTTCTTTCTTTGAAAAATATTCTTATAGCGAGGGATAGAATATATCCCTTTATTTCTTTCTTTATTTATTTTCTAAATGAAATTAAATATGACACAATTTTAAAACAATATATTGGAGGCATAAAACTTAAAAGAGAGAGAGAGTTAAATGGACATGTGTTTTTTTTTAAAGCAAATTAGGAAATTATAGTATATGGCGTACTACAATATCATCGAGGATGGAGTGCATTCTTGCGTAATATATGAATAAGTTAATATATTCTGACCATCGTAATAAGACTGATTCAATCAATTATCTTAGAACGATTAATTTACCATTTTATATTAGTCTCTGACGCCGCTATAAATTTGATTAAGTTTTGTATTATTTTTTTAAAATAATTCTACGCTATACAAGCTAATTCATAATGGGAGAAAGTGATTGAAAAATTAGGTTTTAAGAAAGACATAAATACAATATATTCATGTTGATTTCCCTTAATAAATTTCTCAATTTTTGTTTTCCATTTAAAGGAAGAACAATAAAAAGGTTCATTTGAGGGAAGGTGATCAAAACCCATAAGAGTTGCCCCCACCAAATCATCATTGCCACATCATTCAGACTGGTTTTCCGATGTCCAAATTGAAGCCCATAAACACCCCCCACGTAATAACACTTTTTTTACTTATTAACACCCAACATTTTACAAACAACGCGCACAATAACGTGTCGTTTCCTATTTTCCTTAGCGTGTGCGCGAGTTCGCGAGAGAGAAAGTCCACTCTTACGAACGCAAACAAAACCCAACCAACCATTTTTTATTTTGCACCACTCCCAATTACCCAAATCAACCGCAATACAAAAACCCATTTTTTCTTCTTCTCTTCTTCTTCTTCTTATTTCTCTTCTCTACTCCTACTCACGATTAAGAAAACGACTATTTCTTGTTCTATGATTTCTCTGCCGGCCTTACCCAGTACGCTTTGGATCTGATTCTCGATTCGGAATTCTCATCATTTTATTCCGATTTCAATTCAATTCCAGTTGGGTTGATCTGATTTCTAGTTTTCGTTAATTTTGATCGGATCAATCATTTTTTTTTTTTGGATTCTGTTTCTCTGAAATGGTCTATCATCTGCCGAGCTCAATATCGGTCTGCAAGTCCGTTGACCAAACCCCCTCTCCCATGGCGAGCTTATCATCACCGTCCGATCCACCATCAGGTCCCACCAAGTCAAATAATCATCATTTGAACAAATCCAGAAAGATTCATCAAAACTCGACCCCAAATCCATGCTCTACAACTTGCTGCGATCGATCCCGATCGGGCGCCATCGACGTCGTGATCTTCATCGCCGTGATCGTCGCCCTCGGCTTCCTAATCTTCCCTTCCCTCAAATTCCTCTTCTCCCAATCCCTCCAAATCCTTGGAACCGTCAAGGACATCCTTAGGGATGAAGTTTCGCAGGCTCCGCTGGTGTACGGATCCGTGGGGCTCAGCGCTTGCTCGGCGGTTTTGGCCGCCTGGGGAGTTATTGCCTGCACCACCAGGAAATGCGGGAATCCAAACTGCAAGGGCCTCCGAAAGGCGGCCGAGTTCGACATCCAGCTCGAGACCGAGGACTGCCTCAAGAATCATAATAATAGTAATAACAATAACAATCACCACAACAACAATAATAATCTGTTGGCTTCGACGGAGAAAAAGGGATTGTTCGAATTGCCCCGCGATCACCACCGTGAACTGGAGGCCGAGCTGAAGAAGATGGCGCCACCGAACGGCAGGGCCGTCCTGGTTTTCCGGGCTAGGTGCGGCTGTTCTCTCGGCAGGTTGGAAGTTCCTGGGCCCAAGAAGCATCGAAAGATCAAGAAGTAGGATATATATATATATATATATAAATAGATATAGAAGATGAATACAGGAGGGGTTTAGTGTTAATCTTCTGGGATAATAAAAAGGTTGGTTACATTAGCTAATGGGGGAATAATACTAATAATAAGTTGTAAGGAGCATGGATGGACCGTGATATACAGTTTGTTTATTTATAGTTGGGGAATACAAACAACTTTTTCTTATTTAATTTGGTTATGATTGTTGGTTTTTTTTTTAAGCGCTTTTTGTAGATTCTAAATTTCTCTTTTTGCAATCATTCAGTTTGTTGATTTCTCCTTTTTCTTATTTTTTACTATTCTTAAATTTTAAATTTTCTGTTAGGATAGATTAAAGTAATCCTGGCTTTAAAATGTTTCTTGTGCTGTTTTTCTTGCAGAGATCCAACTGTTCTGTCACGAGGTTGGATTAGAGACTGAAATACTATTTTATTTTATTGTTTTGTAAGTTAAAGAGAAAAATACAAGATTTAGATGATTCATTACTTTGTAATCAAAGTTCTGATTGCAGAGACCAATGGTCTAACTTCAGTGGGATCTGATGGATGTCAACACCAGCAGAAACTCTACATTCCATTGGAGTGCTTGTGGTATGATGAATTTTGTCTGCTCATATTCGCACTTTTGTTCATTGTTTTATATCTTGCAAGATGCAAAATCAAGTTATCATCTCTCAAACTGCTTTTATAAAATCCGGGATTTTTTAGTTCTTTCGTTATGCACTGGAAGATTTGATGTTATGCGAGTTTCATACTTTGATCTTCAAAAGGATTTATTCTTGTAGTAGACATATGCACGGATGAATTTTTTTAGTAGTTATATGGGCCTATGGCCAGTTCGGACATTTAAGTGACAGTTTGAGATTTCTTTTGGGGTCCTCAATAGCTTTTCGACTTCTGCTTCTACTAGAAGTAAAAGTTGCCTTCTTTCAGAAGCGTGACAATCTCAAATTGAAGTCCTTAGTTAAGAGGTATAGATTTTCAGTAGACGATTGTCGATGCTAAAGGTTGTGCTTACCCAATTATTGTCGTTTATTTTGCTCCCCGGTAAAATTTTAAAAAATAGCCAAGCGATGATCGATCAAGCAAATGCATTATAGATCTATAAAATCTATCACATAATCTGAACCTGTTCTAAGTGAGATTTTTCTCAGTTCATTTCAAAGATGAAAAGTAAATGTTACAGCAGACTAGCAGAGTGCCTCCCTAGTTAGCACGCATAAAGAAAGCCTGACATTTTCTTTAGCAATAACCTGTTGCATCCAATACGACACTTCTGTATCCCCTAAGGCATCAGACGTTTACTCAATGCTTGTTTATATATGCAAATCAGTCCTCTCATCATTTTATTGCTCTGAAGCGACATGATAGTTCAATTTTTTTTTTCTTGCATAATGGCTATCTCTCCTTTCATTATATGTTTGTAATAAAGAATCAGCATGGCTCTTGTATTAGTAAGAGTACTGACTACTGAGTACCTTCTAGTCCATTGTGATAGCGGGGATGAATCGGGTAGATAATACTCTGTTTGTTGAATTTACCATTGTTTGATCACAAAATCCATACAGAATTGCTGTCACAGAGACAAGTCATTCCGTGGTTTTTGAGTTCTCTTGGCCACATGCTGAGAGTTTGTCTCAGTTTGGTCACTCCGACAATCTGTGCTGTTTTGAAAGTCCTTTTTAATGTGAATTTAGGGTTTGTCAGGCGTAATTACTTTCATTTAGGTCAAATTGGCCTCATATGGAACTAGAAGTAGTCTCTAGCTCTTCTAATGATGGTATATTGCATGAGAAGTGGTGTTATTTATCTCAATGCCTTGTTCTACAAATGTGTTTGTACGCAAGTGCATAATCTCCACTACTAGAACGGATAAAACCGTGAGACCGTTTGGTTCATGGATTAAAATTATGTGATTAGAACCATTTTCGATTTACGTGTATTTTTTGTGAGAGAAAACATTGTAACGAATCATAAACCATAATTCAAATCATGGTTTGAATCTTCAAACCAAACATAAGTAAAGTGATGTGACAGTAGTGAATATGTACTAAACTTTATACAATGTCCAGATATGCTCTACAACCTAACAAGCTCGGAGTATTTTATGTAGAGAATTTAGTAATCTACAAAAAAATAATAATAATAATAATAATAAATAAAATTGAGAGAGCTACTAATGAAAACGGTCAAATATTTGCCTCCATTAGTCAGGTCAAATATTTGCCTCCGGTGATAGGCTTTGGGCAATCCATACGTTGTATAGCATATAGAGGTCATTTGAAAATGTGTTAAATTTAACCTAAGTGAGCAAACAGTGTTTCTGATATTATAGTAAATGTATTATTCATATATAAATTTTTTATTATCGGCATAATTTCAATATGCTTTTATTTTTACTGTTGTCAATAATAGTATTAGTACTACTTACACCTTGTTCGTTTCGTAGATTTGAGTTTTTAATTCGAGCTGAGATGTGACATTTTCTGAGAGCTTTTAACTGTAACTAAAGAAGTTAGATGTTAGATGTGACATTTTCTGAGAGTTTTTAACTGTAAAAATTTAAAACTGAAAACATAAATCGGTAAAATGAATGAGGTTTAATAATAATACTATGTTTATAATGCCCTAAAAAATGATAACAAACTCGTTCTTTTGATATTTATGTCAATTTTGAAACTTTTATCTTTTTACACAGGCAACAAATAATAATTTTTTATACCATGTGGGATTGAATTTGTGTTCTCAAATCACACCTCACCTTTAGTTTATTTTTGATCAACTGGTTATTGGCAATAAATAAAATATTTTAGTATTTGACTTTTGGAGAATTTTTTATTATATTGTTTAAACTTACTTAGGGATCGTTCAATTTATTTATTTGAATTTTTAATTTGAGTTAAGATGTAATTTTATGTAAGAGTTTTTTACTGTAATAGAAAAGGTTAGACATGTCATTTTCTAAGAACTCTTAACTGTAAAAATTTAAAACTGAAAACTCGAATCGGTGAAATGAATAAGGCTTAAATAATAATACTATGTTTATAATGCCCTAAAAAAATGATAACAAACTCGTTCTTTTGATATTTATGTCAATTTTGAAACTTTTATCTTTGTACACAGGCAACAAATAATAATTTTTTAATACCATGTGGGATTGAATTTGCGTTCTCAAATCACACCTCACCTTTAGTTTATTTTGATCAACTGGTTATTGGCAATAAATAAAAGATTTTAGTATTTGACTTTTGGAGAATTCTTTATTATATTGTTTAAACTTACTTAGGGGTCGTTCAGTTTGTTTATTTGAATTTTTAATTTAAATTAAGACGTAATTTTATGTGAAAATTTTTTACTGTAACAGAAAAAGTTAGATATGACTTTTTATGAGAGCTTTTAAATTTAGTAAAATTGAAATTAAAAATTTGAATCGGTAAAATGAACAAAATCTTATTTCTTTTGGCTTTGATACGATCCCTGTCTAACCGTCCGATCAAGACTCTAGAGTTTAGAATTGACAATTTCATCCGACTATTATTTTTTTCACCTTATTATAAACTCATGACATTAAGGTTGCGTTTAATATGAGGGTTTTAGAATCAAAACCATGATTCTGGTTCAAACCTTTATTTGTAAAAAGTAAAAAATAATTTTTAAAAATCAGTGTTTAGTTTAGATGGTTCTGGTTTAAGATTTGAATCTTGATACAATGTTTTAAACCAGAACCACTAAAAAATTAAAACCACATCACCCCTTAATTTTGAATGGTTCAAATCTCTGATTCTGATTTCAGTTTCAAAACTATAATTTAAACTCTAAATTTAAACCATAAATTATAATTCTAATTCTAAAATTAAAACCATCTCCATTTAAACTCTCATATTAAACGCAATAAAAAATTAAGGCTTTTCTGCAATTCCACGAAGACCTTTTAGTGGAATGCCATTCAACATTTGGTTAAGTGCACGCGCGTGCACAGTGGAAATAATAACCGGCTGCTGTCGGTTTCCAAATAAAAGAGTTAGCACTTTCAAGAATTTCGAGATGGAGCCATATGGGTTTTAATAATTTGAAGGAGGATTGTTTGGTCTTTTTGTAATGACATAGATGTAATTCAGGGGCAACAAAGTAATTGAGCAGGTTAGTAGGACGGTTAAAAAGAAAATACACGATTCAAAATAATATTATAATGGACATGACATTGTAACCAAGTATGAGATCGTTGTAACCCGTTAGTTGTAGAATGTAACCGATTACTTGTGTCGGAAGAGGTGAATTTTTGCACAGTTTGACGCTGGAATCATGCTTTATGGTGCATGATGTCATTTTACATTCGATTTGTAAGGAGGCGTTTAGTTCATGGATTAAAATCATGAGATTTATGTGTATTTTTTATGAGAAAAAATAATGTAACGAACTACAAATTATAATTTGAATCAGGCTATGAATCCTCCAACCAAACAATCCCTAGGGATTCTATAGTTTTTCAATTGTGTAGACTCAAGTTTCTTTTTTTTTTCCCTTTAGATGTTGTATTTTTAATTTTTATTAGCAATTTTCCATAGAATAATTTTGATTAGCAATTTTAATAGGAGTAAGTACTAATTTGTGGTATGAAAGCAACGAATATATTATGTTAAAACGGTGATTAAATGAATATCTAAGTAATGGAGATACTTATGCTTTTGTACATAATTAAGCCTCCAAATTATTAAGGTTCTTACAAAACATAGTATATATATATATATTAATAAAGTATAATGCATTTGTTTCATGCATCAATGTGTACTCTATTTATTATATCCTATTTACTTTCATATTATTGATTGTTTGTAAAGCAAACTAATGCATCAAGACCTTTGGCCGTGGCTCTCTCTCTAAACGATCGATTCTATAGATAGTACTGAGCTGGATAAGACCTTCTTGTTCCCTGTTTGGCAGCATCCGTGAATATACCCTCCAACCGGACAAGGCGAACACTCATACATGCACCACCAAACAAAGCTATACGGTGGTTCCACACTGTGTGGGCCATAGTTGGAACACGATAATTTCCACCATTAAGCAAATACGGTACGGACGCCATTGTTTTACAACACCTGTCATGTTGCCTAATGGAGTCGTACATCCCGCATACGTGGGTCCTCAGTGGGTTATAGATAAAATCCAAATCTAACGGCAAACAATAAATACTCCAGGG